CCCATCTCACATTCAAGGATACACAAAGACTCAAAACAAGGGATGGAGAAGGATTTACCAACCAAACAGAGAGCTAAAATAAATAAATAAAAAGCAGAAGTTACAATTAAGCAACAAAGATCAAAAGAAGCAAAGAAGGACATTATATAATGATAAAAGGATCAATGCAACAACAAGAAGAGCTAAAGATCCTAAATATATACGCACCCAATACAGGAATACGTAGATCAGTACCACATCATATCAACTTAGAAGTTTAAACGAAATGTTGGTTGGATCCTTGTTTGTTATTCTCTTCCCTCATTTTCTTTTATATCTCCATTATTAAGGACAATTATAGGCATACCCATATTTAGATTGCATTCTAGCCCAGGCAATAAAGCAATACCCCCATTCTCTCTCCCTCTTCCTCTTTCTCTTTCTTCCTCTTTATTCTTTTTCTTATAAAAAAAATAAAAATAATTAAAAAATGAAAAGCTTTTAAAAACATAGATGCCCGGGCCGGGCGCGGTGGCTCAAGCCTGTAATCCCAGCACTTTGGGAGGCCGAGGCGGGTGGATCACGAGGTCGAGAGATCGAGACCATCCTGGTCAACATGGTGAAACCCCGTCTCTACTAAAAATACAAAAATTAGCTGGGCATGGTGGTGCACGCCTGTAGTCCCAGCTACTAGGGAGGCTGAGGCAGGAGAATTGCTTGAACCCAGGAGGCGGAGGTTGCGGTGAGCCGAGATCGCGCCATTGCACTCCAGCCTGGGTAACACGAGCGAAACTCTGTCTCAAAAAATAAATAAATAAATAAACAAATAAATAAATAAAAGTGGATAGGCCGGGCACAGTGGCTCACGCCTGTAATCCCAACACTTTGGGAGGCTAAGGCGGGTGGATCATGAGGTCAAGAGCTTGAGACCAGCCTGGCCAACAAGATGAAACACCATCTCTACTAAAACTACCAAAAAAAAAAAAAAAAAATTAGCTGGACGGGGTGCTGGGTGCCTGTCATCCCAGCTACTCGGATGCTGAGGCAGGAGAATCACTTGCACCCAAGAGGCAGAGGTTGCAGTGAGCAGAGACCGCACCGTTGCACTCCAGCCCGGGCGACAGAACAAGACTCTGCCTCGAAACGAAAAAACAAACAAACAAACAAACAAAATGTGGATAACCCACTCTGGTTAATAGATGATGATTAGGATTCAACAAGAAAAAGAATATGGCCGCCTCTACTGAAACCTGACCCAGCAATCCCACCTGTCTCAATTCACCCAACTGAAAGTTAAAAATCCGGTAGGAGGCCAAGTGCAGTGGCTCATGCCTATAATCCCTGTGCTTTGAGAGGCCAAGGCGGGTGGATCACTTGTGGTGAGGAGGTCAAGACCAGCCTGGCCAACATGTGGAAACCCCATCTCTACTAAAAATATAAAAATTAGCCAGTTCTGGTGGCGTGCGCCTGCAATCCATTACTCAGGAGGCTGAGGCAGGAGAATCGCTTGAACCCAGGAGGCGGAGGTTGCAGTGAGCAGAGATCGCACCACTACACTCCGGCCTGGGTGACAGAGCAAGACTTTGTCTCAAAAAAAAAAAAGAAAAAAAAAAAAACCTAGATACAGTTTGATCCCTTGCTTAGAAAATAAAAATGCATTCCATGAAAAATAAAAAGGCAGCTTCCATCAGTTTATATAACAAGGTTCTCTTTTTTAAAATGCATATATATTTACACCATGCAAATGAGGGAGGCTGGAAAGTTTTTGAAAATGCTAGTTGTGCTGGGCGCGGTGGCTTACACCTGTAATCCCAGCACTTTGGGAGACCGAGGTGGGTGGATCACTAGGTCAGGAGTTCAAGACCAGCCTGGCCAACACGGTGAAACCCCGTCTCTACTAAAAATACAAAAATTAGCTGGGCGTAGTGGCACGTTCCAGCTACTTAGGAGGCTAAGGCAGAAGAATCACTTGAACCTGGGAGGTAGAGGTTGCAGTAAGCTGAGATTGTGCCACTGCACTCTAGCCTCGGCAACAGAGCAAGACTCTGTCTCAGAAAAAAAAAAGAAGAAGAAGAAAGAAAGAAAAAAAAAATGCTAGTCGTGTCTGAAAATGTGTGATTTGATTTTTGCTTTGTCAATTTGCTTAGCTGTTAAGTTCTGATTTTTTCCACATTGATTGCACATTGTGTTCGTTTATAAAAGTCTCAGCTACTTTTCTTTCTTTCTTTCTTTTGAGATGGAGCATCGCTTTTGTTGCCCAGGCTGGAGTGCAATGGGTTGACGATCTCAGCTCGCTGCCACCTCCACCTCCCGGGTTCAAGCGCTTCTCCTGACTCAGCCTCCTGAATTACAGGCATGCACCACCACCCCTGGCTAATTTATGGCATTTTTAGTAGAGAAGGGGTTTCACCATATTGGTGAGGCTGATCTCGAACTCCTAACCTCCCAAAGTGCTGAGATTACAGACGTGAGCCACCACGCCCAGCCCTTAGGGTATATTCTTACATACCCTAAGGGTGTAATAATCCTGAGAATTTGTAAGCATTTGACCAAGAAAATCCAAATGCGACTGGGCATGCTGCAGCGCCCTAACCTTCTGTCCCTGGGGTGGGACCACTCTTTCCCTTCTTGTCACACGTCCCTACCACTCCACGGCAAGTTCCTGGGGTCATTATCTGACAGCGTAAGTGCCCTTCAATCCTGATCTTGGGGTCTGTTTGGGGGCACCCAAACCATGACAGCCTCTTATTCAAGTCATCTGGGAGAATCCTGAAGTTGACCCAAGACAGAGCTGTGGGGTCCTCACCTACGCTGGGGAAGTTTTATGACATGAGAGGGGACACAGGGCTCTCACCACACCCTCACCCCGTAGTAGCTCTACTGGCCGCCTTTTTTGTTTGAGGGCATCTTGCTCTGCTGCCCAGGCCAGAGGGCAGTGACTTGATCTTGGCTCACTGCAACCTCCACCTCCCAGGTTCAAGCGATTCTCCTGCCTCAGCCTCCTGAGTAGCTGGCATTACAGGCGTCTCTCACTACACTAGGCTAATTTTTGTACTTTTAGTAGCGATGGGGTTTCACCATGTTGGCCAAGCTGGTCTTGAACTCCTGACCTCCAGTGATCCACCAACCTTGGCCCGCCAAACTGCTGGGATTACAGGCGTGAGCCACCACACTGGGCCCTTTGAGGTCTGTTTTTGGGGGACTCAAACCATGACAGCCCATCTTTATTCAGTCATCTGGGAGAATCCTGAAGTTGACCCAAGAAAGAGCTGTGGGTCCTCTACCTATATTGGGGAATTTTCTCTACTGGGCAGCTTCTCTACTGCACCTACCCCGGTTTTCTCCCAAATCTTGTTGCACAGACAGGGGTGGGGAATGTGGGCAGTGTTCTGACGCTGAGCAAAACCCCACAGACTTCTGTGAAAACCAACCACGAACATTTATTTAAAATATAAGCAAGTTATCCCCCAGAAGGTGAAGCACCGCTGGCTGGTTCTGACATTCGATTCAGGCTGAAGGCACAGCATCTCCTCTGGCCCTTGTTGGGAAATGTCCCGCCCAGGCCACGGGCGGTGCCCCAGTGCAGCTGAGCCCCCGAAAAGCCCCCAAACACACGATCCCTCCGAAGGCTTGAACAGAGCAACTTCATCAAGCAGGCAGGGATCACACCTGAGACACAAGGGCAAAGAGGCAGAACACAGGGGAACCAGGGGTGGGCAAGGGACACCCAGCCCCTGTCTCCAACGGGCGCCCCCTCCAGGGGGGCTGACGTGTGACCATGGGGTCACCAGGACCTGTGGTTGCCCTGGTGGGGAAAGAGCTACCCTCCCTCTTGGTGGTGGGGGGATGTTATCTGCACACAGCTCGGGTGACCAGGGACACAGGAGGAATCAAACATCAGTCAACCACGCTTCAACCCAACTGGGAGTCTGCGAGGCCTGGCACACACAGTGCTCAGTAAATGCTTGTGGATAGAGAAGGGACCGATCTCGTTCATCTCTGTGCCCTAGCACTTGGCATGTAGCCCAACACCCAGCGGATGATGAAAAATGCAGACCAGACAGCTGTCACACTCTTCTGTATCACTACTGCCTGGCACACAGTCAGTGCTCTTGAGGTGTGTGGGCAAGAAGCCAGTTAAAGAGTGAAAAGTTCCCACACCGTCTAGCAGTGAGGGAAAAAGGTGAAAAGTACCTTGTTTGCCTCCATTCCCATCCTAGAGCTCAGCTCCCTGCATACGGCAGGAACTCAGTCACTGTACCGAATCCAGAACTTCTCTCTGTGACGTGAATGCCAGGCACCCAGTAGGTGCTCAATATGTGCCTGAATAAACGGATGGAAGGCTCTTATTTATCTCAAGAGTCCCAGAACCTGGGCTGGGCACTGTGGCTCATGCCTGGAATCCCAGCACTTTGGGAGGCCGAAGTGGGCAGATCACTTGTGGTCAGGAGTTTGAGACCAGTCTGACCAATATGGTGAAAACCCATCTCTACTAAAAACATGGAAATTAACCAGATGTGATGGTGTGCACCTGTAGTCCCAGCTACTTGGGAGGCCGAGAAGCAAGAATCGCTGGAACCCGGCAGGCACAGGCTGCAGTGAACGAACATCATGCCACTATACTCCACCCTGGGTGACAGAGCAAGACTATCTTTGTTTAAAAAAAAAAAAAAAAAAAAAAAAGTCAGGCACAGCAGCACACACCTGTAATCCCAGTACTTTGGGAAGATGAAGCGGGTGGATCATGAGGTCAAGAGATGGAGACCATCCTGGCCAATATGATGAAACCCCGTCTCTACTAAAAATATAAAAATCAGCTGGGTGTGGTGGCACATGCCTGTAATCCCAGCTACTAGGGAGGATGAGGAGGAAAATCTCTCGAACCCATGTGGTGAAGGCTGCAGTGAGCCGAGATCACGCCACTGCATGGCAGCCTGGCCACAGAGCAAGACTGTGTCTCAAAAACAAACAAACAAACTCCCAGAGCCTCGAATGTCACCCAGCACCCAGTAGGCACTCACTAAATCCTTGGGTGAATTTTAAAAATGAGTATGTCAGTAGTGCCTGCTTCTTAATCTGACCAGTAACTGCTTGATTACTGAGTCGATCATTGATGGAGGGAATAATTATGCCTCATTCACTGCCATAACATGGGAACCCGGTATACCGCAGGTGCTTAATAAGTGTTGGGCACATGAACAGATGAAGAGGGTTTGGTTCATCCCAATTCCCTGGTGCCAAGCCCCGTGTCTGGCATGCGGTAGGCGCTCCAATGCTGCCTGTGTGCACGTGATTGCTTAGCAAGAGCTGGCTGGGCATCACCCCGCGCGGAGAGCCCTCTGTGGCCTGCCAGGGGGTCCAGAGGTGGCCCCGATGTCCTCAGTGAGCACGTGGGGGCTGGGCCAGCGACGGCTGCTCTGGCTCTCTGGCTGCCACCCCTCAGAGTTCGTCCCGGGCAGCGCTGTCCAGCGGGGACTGCAGCACGTCTGAGTTCTTGGCCTCCCGGCTCAGCGCCTGCTGCTCCCGCATCTTCTGGGACTTGGCGCGGTCCCAGTCGGTCTTGACTTGCTCGTTGTTCCAAACGACTGAGGTCTCTGTGTCACTCACATAGCCGTCATCCCCTGTGTAGTGTGTGGGGTAGACCAGCAGCGGCTCCACGGAGAAGGCGAGCAGGTTGCGGAGGGAGAAGTGGGCCTTGTACTCGGACCTAGCGGGAGCAGGAGGGGAATGAGGGGCAGCAATGGTTTCAGGGGAGCGGGGGAGGGGACAGCTGGAGGAAAAATTGGCGGTGAGGAAGAAGTCAGCAGGGATAAAGACATAAGTGGGCTGGGCGTGGTGGCTCACGTCTGTAATCCCAGCACTTTGGGAGGCCGAGGCGGGTGGATCATGAGGTCAAGAGATCAAGACCGTCCTGGCCAACATGGTGAAACCCCATCTCCACTAAAAATACAAAAAATTAGCCGGGCTTGGTGGCACGTGCCTGCAGTCCCAGCTATTTGGGAGGCTGAGGCAGGAGAATCGCTTGAACCCGGGAGGCGGAGGCTGCAGTGAGCCGAGATCGCGCCACTGCACTCCAGCCTGGGCGACAGAGCAAAACTCCGTCGCAAAAAAAAAAAAAAAAAGATGAAGTGGACAGGGTATGCAAATGGAGACAAATCTGGGAGAGGGCAAACAGAGGGAGAAGTGGGCAGAAGAGACCTCTCCTCAGAGCCCGTGAGTCTGACACCCCCGCCCCCAGGACAGACCCACCGGGGACCCCAGCGCAGCAGCCGCCTGCCCCTCTCACACTGGGTGCTTGTCAAACATGACGGGCAGGAACTCGTCCACAGGCAGCATCTTGGAGAGCGGCTTGGCATCCAGCAGCTTGCGGGCGCCTTGCAGGGAGATCACGTAGGCCAGGGTCCAGTAAGAGTAGTCGGCCTCCACCAGGTTCCTCACACGGGGCACCGCCTTCTCGGGGTGCTCCACCTGCATCCGCTTCCGGCCCACATAGCTGGGGTGCAGGATTGGATCTGTCACTCTCCTCCCGCCCTCCAAAGGGCGCTTGCCCGGAAAGCCAGGAATCTAGCTACCCCCGTCAGACCCCGGGATGGGAGCAGACTCAATGTTTGCGGAGCAACAAGAGGAAACTGTGACTGGATGGAACGAATGCAGGAACCCAGGGGTCTGGGGGTCATGGGGAGGAGCGCAAGTTTTTCCCAAGGGCATAAGGGAGCCATGGGGAGCTAGGGAGAGCAGGATCACGCAGACGTCCTCTGAGGCTGAAACGACTCTGAGTTCAGAGGGCAGTGGGGGTGGAGGTGGGCGAGGTGCCCGGATGTGGGCAACAGTCAGGAATAAAGCGGTGCAGTTACTATTCACGTGGGGCAGTGTCCCCAGAACGCAGATTAGGGCAGTGCGCATGGAAGGGAAAGAAAGAGAAGGACGGAGGGGACAAACCAACCCACCTATAGGAGAGAAGGACCGCTCCAGTCCTGAAAACACGTTGGTGGTACTCCCATCCCAAGCCCCAAGCCTGGTCTAAGACCAGGTGCCCTGGCCATGCCCCAACGCTCTTCAGCCACACCTCCAGCTCTGGCCACGCCCTCCATGACCACGCCCCCAGGCTCTTCAGCCACACCCACAGGCTGCTCGGTCAAATCTTAACCACACCCAGCTCCACAGGCCTCAATCAAGTCTCTAAACCCTGACCAAGCCTGCAGGCTTCTGGCGAGGCCTTTTGAGTTCTGGGCGATCCTTCCAAGGCCCTTCCCTATCCGCTACAGCCCTGACAGTGCTCTCAGGCCCAGGGACCACGTGAGCCCTCCCGCTATGCTTCCAGGAGTTGGCCACGCCCCAGGCCACGCCTCCCACCCTGATCACACCCAGACATGCAGGCTCAAGGCTCAGCTGCAGTGCTCTGGCCACGCCCCAGGCCACGCCTCCCACCCTGATCACACCCAGACATACAGGCTCAAGGCTCAGCTGCAGTGCTCTGGCCACGCCCCTAGGACCCAGCTCCACTCCGCCTCCCAGCCCCACCTGTAAGCCTTGGCCTTGTACCCAGGCGCCAGCTCCACCTCACCCTCAAGCCCCACCTCTAAGCCATGACCCCTCCCCAGGCCCCAGTGCCACCCTGCCCTCAGCCCTACCTAAACCCTGGCCTTGCCCCCGGCCCCAGCTTCACTCCATCCTCAGACCCCCACTCACATGAGGTCCCAGTCGAGGTCCTCCCGCTCCACATCCCGCATGAGGTTCATCAGACGCCTCTTGAAGAAGATCTCAAAACGCAGGTCGTCCTCAAACACGAGCGATTTCTCCAGCCCCCGGTCCACCACCTGAGTGAGGAAGCCCAAGGCAAGGCCAAGCCTGGACCTAAAGCCCAGAGCTCTGCTTTGAGAAGCTCTGGGAGACCCGGAGAGAAGCCAACGCATCTCCCCTCCTCTCCTAGCTCCAGCGGCATGTGGACATCCAAACCTCTGCCCTCCGCCTCCCAGGATGGACCTCAGGAGGAAAAGACCTCTCAGCTCCTCAAACGCCCATGCCCCATGCACCTCGGCCTTGCAGCCGCAAAACCCCATCGGCTTCACATTTGATAATCACAAGTCCCCCCCCCCTTTTTTTTTTAATGAGACAAGAGTCTCACTTTGTCACCCATGCTGGAGTGCAGTGGTGCGATCTTGGCTCACTGTGACCTCTGCCTTCCAAATTCAAGCAGTTCTCCTGCCTCAGCCTCCTGAGTAGCTGAGATTACAGTTATGTGCCACCACGGCCGGCTAATTTTTGTTTTTGAGATGGAGTTTCACTCTTGTCACCCAGGCTGGAGTGCAATAGCATGATCTCTGCTCACTGCAACCTCTGCCTCCTGGATTCAGGTGATTCTGTTGCCTAAGCCTCCCAAGAAGCTGGGATTACAGGCACCCACCACCACACCTGGGCAGTCTTTGTATTTTTAGCAGATAAGAGGTTTCACCATGTTGGCCAGGCTGGTCTCAAACTCTGATCTCAGGTGATCCACTCGCCTCGGCCTCCCAAAGTGCTGAGGTAACAGGCGGTAACAGGCATGAGCCACTGCACCTGGCTGCTTTTCTCTTTTTTTCTGAGATGCGGTTTTGCTCTGTTGCCCAGACTGGAGTGCAGTGGCACTATCCCGGCTGACTGCAGCCGTGAACTCCTGGTCTCAAGCGGTCCTCCCACCTTAGCATCCCAAGTAGTCAAGATCCCAGGTGTGCACCAGCGTGCCCAGCCCTGATGGCCCCAAGTTCAAATCCCAGTCAGACATCCTTCTCCAATCACAGCCTCTCACCCTGAGGGTGGCTGAGGATGCTTGGGCTGGTGGGGTGCCCCTGGCACTGGGCAGGTGATGGTTTAACGTGGCTCTGTGGCCATGACTTCTATTACTAAACATCAAGCATGGAAACCAGGCTGGGAGTGAAAAAGCTTCGTTTACAGATTCCAGGCCCCAGACCCCACCTGCTGCTCAAAAGGGCTCACCCCTCCCCCCAACCTCAGTTCCCACATCTGCACAATAGAAGGACTGGCAGACACACCTGGGGTTGATACGGCTGGTTTGGTAAATCATTCACTAAAAAGAGGCCATGGGTCCCAGGGCTGAGGTTGGATGCCTGGCCACCTGGCTGGGGCTTTGGGCAACTAACTCCTTCAACCCCTTCCTCCTCCAAATCTCCGAGGAGACCTAGAGTCATAATTCTGGCCCCACCCACTGCTCAGGACACACCTCTTTCCAGATATTGTAGTGGCTCAGGAAGCAGCCCAGTTCGCCTTTGGTGAGGGGCCGGCCATGGTAGGGGTCCTGATAGCCGGGCAGCATCTGGATCCCCAGTGCCTCCACCTGGCTGGTATTCATGGCTCTGGAGAAGAGGAGGAGAGGGTCACGAGGAAGGCTCGCCCTGCCTGCTATTCTGCCACCCCCTACCATTCCACCGCCGCCCCCCCACCCCCGCAGCATTGAGCAGCTGGTCCCCCTCTTGGAGCGTCGGCACCCCTCCTGGACACAAGGGGCCCCACTCGCCTGCACATGGTATACACTCGTGGGCAAACCTGCTCTCCTCCCCTGGGGTCTGACTGACTTTCCCCTCCACGGTCCCCACCAGCCTGGTCTACACTGGCAGCATGCAAACCCTGGGTCAGGACTCACTCGCCTTCCATGGCCTACACCTGCGAAGAGCTACTCCTTCCCCAAGTTCCCATTCACTTCCCCTCCATAAGGCCCACTGACGTGGTCTACACCTGTTTGTACCCAACGCCCGCCCCCACTGGAATCACCTGTCCTCTACCAGCGAGGTCTACACCCACACCCACAGCCAGGTGCGGACCCGCAACCCCACAACCCCCAGACCTCGGACTCACTTGCCGTCCACGGCCTCCACCAGCCGGCACTGGATCCCCTGCTCCTGCAGTGCCCGCAGCATGCGCTCCCGCCGGTCCTGCCGCCGCCTCAGGTTGATCATGAAGACCTGCAGCCGGGAGCGCCCGGAGCCGGATCAACCCCTGCAAGCCAGCGCCCCCCAGCCTTCGCCCCGCCTCCAGGGAAGGCCCACCCCACCTCGTCGAAGCCCATCTTGTCCGGCGTCTTGGTGGGCGCTGAGATGAAGCGGGAGGGCTCCGCTGGCGGGTGCTTCACTGTGGGGCAGAGACGTCAAGGAGTCGCTGGGGCAGGGGCCTCCAGCCTCTCTCCAGTACGCTTTCCCCACCCGCTCCATGGCTCCCAGTAGGCCTGGCTTTGCCCACAAAGTTGACCTCGCTCTGCCCACATCAGCACAGCTCTCTAGGCGCCCTTCCCTTGTCACTTGAACTCCGCACAGCCCGGCCCCGCCTCAGGTTTCAGTTTCACTCCACTCCCCAAGCCCCGCCTCAGTCCTGGCCACGCCCCAGGCTCCCGCTTCACTCCGCCCCAGCCCCGCCTCTCAGCCCTGGCCACACCCCCGGCCCAGCTTCACCCCGCCCCTCAGCCCTGTCCCTCAGCCCTGGCCACGCCCCAGACCCCAGCTTCAACCTGTCCCCAGCCCGGCCTCTAAGCCCTGGCCGTATCCCAGGCTACAGCTTCAACCTGACCCCCAGGCCCACCACCAGCCCTGGCCACGCCCCAGGCCCCAGCTTCACCACGCCCCCAGCCCCACCTCACAGCCCTGGCCACGCCCCAGACTGCAGCTTCACCCTGCCCATAGCTCCGCCCCAGGCCCCAGCCTCACCGTGTCCCTAGCCCTGCCTCTAAGTCCTGGCCACGCCCCAGGCTCCAGCTTCACTCTGCCCTCCAGCCCCGCCTCTAAGCCCAGGCCAGCCCAAAGACCCCCATTCCTACCTCAGGGCCTTTGCACATGCTGAGTTCCTGCTGTAACTAACCTTCCCTTCCCTCCTCTGTATCCTTAATTCTCAGTTATGATGTCCTGGGCATGGGGGTGACCCTTCCCACCCCCCACCTCTCTAGGCTGGGCCAGGTACCTCCTCTGGGCCCCTACAGCAGCTGGACTTGTACCATCAAAGCTCCCATCCTTGGTGCCCTAACCCCCTGGCCCTGTGCCTGTCTGTAGTGAGCCCACTGGGAAGGATACCAGGTCTGTCTGCTCGCACTGGGCCTCAAGTGCCCAACCCAGGGTTCTGGCACACAGCAGGCACTCAATTATCGCTTGTAGAATGAACCAAGAAATGATGGCATGCTGTGTAACCTCGACCGGCCTGGGCCTCAGCTTTCCTCATCTATAACATGGGTCAGTAAGGCACTCAGAGGTTTCACGAAGAGATGTCATGAGATCACGCAGTGTGTCATGGGTTGAACTGTGTCTCCCCAGTCCTAACCACCAGTACTCCAGGATATGATCCTATTTCGACACAAGGTTTTGTACAGAGGTAATCGAGTTAAAATGAGGTCATTAGGACACTAATCCATATGGCTTGTGTGCTTATTAAAAGGGGAAATCAGGCCGGGCACAGTGGCTCACGCCTATAATCCCAGCACTTTGGGAGGCCGAGGCAGGTGTATCACGAGGTCAAGAGATCAAAACCATCCTGGTCAACATGGTGAAACCCCGTCTCTACCAAAAATACAAAAATTAGCTGGGCATGGTGGCGCGTGCCTGTAATCCCAGCTACTCAGGAGGCTGAGGCAGGAGAATTGCCTGAACCCAGGAGGCAGAGGTTGCGGTGAGCCGAGATCGCGCCATTGCACTCCAGCCTGGGTAACAAGAGCGAAACTCCATCTCAAAAAAAAAGGCAGTGGGGATCAGCTACATGGGAGGCTGAGGCAGAAGGACCACCCAGGAGTTCAAGGCTGCAGATAGTGCTATGATGAGCTATGATGGTGCCACTGCACTCCAGCTTGGGTGACAGAGACTCCGTCTCCAAAATAAGAAACACTGCCAGGTACCTTGGCTTGTGCCTGTACTCACAGCCTTGAGAGGCCGAGGCGGGAGGACTGCTGGAGCCCACAGTTCAAGAACAGGTTGGGCATACGAGATCCCATCTCTGCAAAATATTCTAAAATTATCTAGGCATGGTGGCATGCATCTGGAGTTGTAGCTGCTCTGGAAGCTGAAGTGGGAGGATGGCTTGAGCCCAGGAATCAGGGGCTGCGGTGAGTTACGATCACACCACTGCAACATACAGAGAAAAATGTAATTTTTTAATTTGAGACACGGTCTCGCTCTGTTGCCCAGGCTGGAGCATAGTGGCGCAATCTTAGCTCACTGTAGCTTCCACTTTCCGGGATCAAGCAATTCTCCAGCCTCAGTCTCCCGAGTAGCTGGGACTACAGGTGTGAGCCACAAATGCCCAGCTAATTGCTGTATTTTTTATAGAGACAGGGTCTTGCTAGGTTGCCCAGGTTGGTCTTGAACTCCTGAGTTCAAGTTCAAGTGATCCGACCCCGTCAGCCTCCCAGTGTGTGGAGATTACAGGCAGGAGCCACCATGCCTGACCAAAAATGTGGATTTTACTGGGAACATAGGAAGTAGCTGCACAAATATCTGAAACCTCCAGACCTTCTGTCTGCTTGTTCTGTGTAGTTTGCTCTGGCCCACAAAAATCAGGAAAATATTCATATGTCTGTCATGCCTGAGCTTTTAACAATAGCGTGAATCATTTTTCTTACCAGAAATAACAATAGGCAGCCTGGGCAGCATAGTAAGACCTCATGTCTACAACAAACTAAATCAGCAGCAGGGCGCAGTGGCTCGCGCCAGTAATCCCAGCTCTTTTCCAGCCTGAGACAGGCAGATCACGAGATCAGTAGTTTGAGACCAGCCTGGCCAACATAGCAAAACCCCATCTCTACTAAAAATACAGTATTAGCCAGGTGTGGTGGTGCACGCCTGTAATCCCAGCTACTCGGGAGGCAGAGGCAGGAGAATCGCTTGAACCTGGGAGGCAAAGGGTGTAGTGAGCCGAGATTGTGCCACTGCACTCCAGCCTGGGTGACAGAGCAAGACCCCAACTCAAAAAAAAAAAAAAAGTCTCCCCCAAACACAAAGGGCAGGGTGCCATTCCATCTTGAGCCACCAGGGGTAGCCGCAGATAGAGTCGTTCAGAAATTGGTGAGGCTGGGAAAACTGAGCCCCTGGACGGAGGCCTCACCCTTCCCACCCAGGCTCCATCCGAGCCGTGGAGGGAACAGAAGTGGCGTCGTCAGGGCTTTCTTCGCCCAGTGCAGGGAGAGGCCCACATGAGAAATGGCTGAGATGGGAGCATCATCCCAAGACCACTGCAGAGTTTATGGATTTTTATGATTGGTTGATTGACTGACTGATACAGGGTCTGGCCCTGCTGCCCAGGCTGGAGTGCAGTGGCGTGATCACGGCTCACTGCAGCTTCGACCTCCTGGGTTCCAGGGATCCTCTTCCCGCCTCAACCTCCCGAGTAGCTGGGACCAGAGGCATGCACCATCACACCTGGCTAATTTTTGTGTATGTGTATATATGTATATATATATATATTTTTTTTTTTGGTAGAGACAGGGTTTCACCACATTGCTCATGCTGTTCTCAAACTACTGGGCTCCAGGGATCCGCCTGTCTCGACCTCCCAAAGAGCTGGGAAATTGATTGATTGACTGATTGATTGATTGAGACAAAGTCTTACTCTAATGCTCAGGCTGCATTGCAGTGACACAATTACAGCTCACTGCGACCTCCAACTCCTGGGCTCAAGGGATTCTCCCACCTCAGCCTCCTCAGTAGTTAGGACTATAGGCATGTACCACCATGTCTGGCTAATTTTTAAAAAATTTTTTTTTAATATAGAGATGGGGTCTTGCTGTTGCCCAGCTGATCTTGAACCCCTGGGCTCAAGCAATCCTCACCTTGGCCTCCCAAAGTGCTGGAATTACAGGTGTGAGTCACGACGCCTGGCCTACGCGCAGTTCTTTAGTGAAAACATACCATCCTCTGAGCTCGCACGCCCTCCCTAGCTCCTGACCGTCCTCAGGGGGAAGGTCCCTTTCTCAGCCTGGTCTCTGAGGCCATCTACCCCGGCCCTGGCTACCAACCCCAGGGGCCCACTGACCTTGCCTGGCCCCCAAGTTCATGTCACACCTCCCGCTGCAATCCCCTTTCTGATGAACTAACTACTCACCCTGCTCCTTAATGCCACCTCCTCCAGGAAGCCCACCCGACAACCCCGAGCAGGCTGTGTACAGCTGCCTGGAAACCAGCACTCTGAGAGCAGGGACAATCCTCCACCTCAGTCTCACGTGCCCTTGCACCCAGCACCCCCCGCAGGGATCGGCATCTGTCTGGCACTCCATCAGTGCTCACAGGATGGATTGGAGACATCAGTGAAAGGGAGGCAACCCAGCCCCTCCCAGGGCAGCGTGTGGGCAGACTCACCCATGACCTCCAGCTGCACGTGCATGAAGCTCTCGGCCTCATCCTGGAGGGTGCTGTGGGCACGCAGCGGCACTGGCAGGAAGCCGTATTCCTCCTTGTTGCACACGTACATCTGTACCTCTGCAGCGGGCAGGGAAGCAACAGACAAATGTCAAAACGGCCGGGCCCAGTGGTTCACGCCTTCCATCCAGGACTTCAGGAGGCCAAGGCGGGAGGATCACTTGAGGTCGGGTGTTTGAGACCAGCCTGAGCAACACAGGGCGAGACCTCATCTCGGCCGGACGCGGTGGCTCATGCCTGTAACCCCAGCACTTTGGGAAGCCAAGGTGGGTGGATCACTCCAGGCTGAGTGACAGAGTGAGACTGTGTCTCTAAAACAAGAAAAAATAAAAATAAAATATAAAAACTGTTGTTAGCTTGTGGTGGGATGAAAGCTATCAGTGGGCCAGGCCTGGCCCGTGGGTCAGTTTGCCAACCTCTGGTTTGCAGTAAACAAGTCGACATGAGGCTGTCTGTCTCTTTAAACACCAGGCTTCCTAATTAAACAATTAATATATGCTCAGCTGTAGAAATCAGGTGAATGGGCCGGGCGCCGTGGCTCACGCCTGTGATCCCAACACTATGGGAGGCTGAGGTGGGCGAATCACTTGAGGTCAGGAGTTTGAGACCATCCTGGCCAACGTGGAGAAACTCTGTCTCTACTATAAATACAAAATTGAGCCAGGGGTGATGGCGCCTGCCTGTAATCCCAGCTACTCGGGAGGCTGAGGTGGGAGAATTGCTTGAATCTGGGAGGCAGAGGTGGTGAGCTGAGATTGCACCACTGCACTCCAGCCTGGGCGACAAGAGCGAAACTCTGTCTCAAAATAATAAAAAAAGAAAAGAAAATTGTGTAAAGAGTTCAGTGTATATTATTCGGCGGATGGATGAAATCTCTGACTTCACCACTTCACAATCTATACGTGTAATAAAAATACACTTGTGATCCATAAGCTTATATAAAGCAAAAAATAACAGTAACATTCAATTAATAGATCTCTTTTTCTTGAGATGGAATCTCGCTGTGTCTCCTAGGCTGGAGTGCAGTGGTGCGACCTCAGCTCACTGCAACCTCCGCCTCCCAGATTCAAGTGATCCTCCCACCTCAGCCTCCCTAGTAGCTGTGATTACAAGCGTGCGCCACCATGCCCAACTAATTTTTGTATTTTTAGTAGAGATGGGGTTTCACCATGTTGGCCAGGCTGGTCTCAAACTCCTGGCCTCAAACGATCCATCCACCTTAGCTGGGATTACAGGCATAAGCCACTTCACCTGACCAACCAATAGATTCTTTTTTTTTTTTTTTGAGATGGACTCTCTCACTGTTGCTCAAGCTGGAGTGTAATGTCACGATCTCAGCTCACTGCAACCTCTGCCTCTCGGGTTCAAGCGATTCTCCCGCCTCAGCCTCCCAAGTAGCTGGGATTACAGGCGCCAGACACACCAGGCTCATTTTTGTATTTTTTAGTAGAGACGGGTTTCACCATGTTGGCCAGGCAGGTCTCGAACTCCTGACCTTGTGATCTGCCCGCCTCGGCCTCCCAAAGTGCTGGGATTACAGGCGTGAGCCACCTGCGCCCGGCCGGCAGACCATTCATGTACGCACCTGCCTGCTTGCAGGAGAAGGCGAAGACGATGATGTCGTCAAAGGACCAGGTGTAGTCGGGGTGGGGCGGGTAGAAGGCCAGGTTCCTGGACGCTGCCTTCCGCAGGTCGATCAGGAAGGTCGAGTGCACCATGGGAACCGCGAAGCAGCCCTGGCGCTCCCGCTTGCGGATGGGGATGTAGGCGGGTGTGCGTTTGTAGTAGCCCTGTGGGGCGAGAGGCAGAGTTCTGCATGGGGGTCTCGAAAGGTGAGGATGGAGGCAATAGTGGGAGACACGGAACAGGACCAGGTAGAGAGCCGGGCACAACGGTGTGTGCCTGTGGCCCCAGAAACCCAGACTCAAGCCCAGTGTGGGATCTGCGGCCAAGCCTGGCCAAGGACAAAGAGCCTTGGCCGGGCGCGGTGGCTCATGCCTGTAATCCCAGCCCTTCGGGAGGTGGAGGCAGGAGAACCGCTTGAACCCGGGAGATGGAGGTTGCAGTGAGCCGAGATCACACCGCTGCACTCCAGCCTGGGCGACAGAGAGGGACTCCATCCTCTCCACCTCAGAAACAGAAAGAGCCCTGTATTTTCCCAGCTTCAGTAATGAGTTCAGAGGTGGCATAGAGAGGAGACTAGAGATGGCCCAATCACAGTGGATGACGGCTGGATGCGGCTGGGGTCACTCTCAAGCCATCTCAGAATGAAGCCACCCAAGAGATGGAGAAAGACAGTTATCTGAAGACCTGGATCAAGCCATACCTGAAGTCCCATCGTGACACCACCACTTTCTAGCTGTGTGAGTTTAGGCAAGTCACTTCCTTTCTGTGTTTCTGTTTCCACCTCCGAAACAGGAGCGTGGGGGACAATCAAAGACCTCTATGCTTCGCCCCCATCTGCCCTCGGGGGGCTGTTTGAAATTACCCTGAGTTTTTATTTTGTTTTGTTTTTTTGAGACCGAGTCTGACTCTGTCACCTGTCACCCAGGCTGGAGTGCAGGGGCACCATCTTGGCTCACTGCAACCTTCGCCTCCTGGGTTCGAGGGATTCTCGTGCTTCAGCCTCCTGAGCGGCTGAGAACAGGCACCAGTTACCACGCCTGGCTAAGTTTTTGTATTTTAGTAGAGACAGGGTTTCACCATATTGCCCAGGGTGGTCTCAAACTCCTGAGCTCAGGTGATCCACCTGCCTCGGCCTCCCAAAGTGCTGGGATTACAGGTGTGCGCTACCACACCCAGCTTCCATCATGATTTTTGTAAAACACCCCCACGAGGCTGTGTGATGGTAAGTTACACTCCAGCCACGGCCCCCACCTGCTCAGCCCAGTCCCCCCAGTCCTCCGGCCCTCTCTCTACCTGGGAAGTCATTCCACACCAGAAGTTGGAGTACGCAGCCCGGGAATCCAGCATGGGGGCGACCACCGTCTTGTTCTCAGCGATGAGCAGGCTCAGCGTATCAGGGTTAAGGATCAGGTTGTCTGCGTCTACGAACTGCAAAATGCCCCACATGGCATCAGCATGGGCGGCCGGAGTGACCCCAGGTCAGGCTACTGCTTAGAACAGCTGGGGCAAAGTCCAGAGCCCTGGGGGGCTGGCAAAGACCTCTGGAAGTACCCCCCACACTGGCTGAAACGGAGCAGGGACCCCGTCTTGGGGGTCTGCAGGATACCCTGGATCATGGCAATAAAGCAAAGGTCTTGAGTTCCTTCAAAGAAAATTCTAGGCACTGAGCTAGCCCTGAGAAGTGGATGAACAACCAATGAGCAAGAAGGTAGCAAAACCTTTTTTTTTTTTTTTTTTTCTGAGACAGAGTGTTGCTCTGTCACCCATACTGGAGTGCAGTGGCATGATCTCAGCTCACTGCAACCTCCGCCTCCTGGGTTGAAGCGATTCTCCTGCCTCAGCCTCCTGAGCAGCTGTGACTGCAGGCACGCGCCACCACATTTGGCTAATTTTGCATTTTCAGTAGATGTGGGGAGAAAACCCAGGTGCCAAGGCAAGAGACTGAAGGCACATTCTGTCCCAGCATAATCAATAACTGATTACTTAGTTTTAGCAATAATCCCAAATATATTTCGAAACAATCACATAATCAATTCTACAACCCATCCTATTAAATCATGATTCTTTATCAATCTTTACTAGTATTACAGCACAGAATCATTTTAGTTTTATAGCATAGACATAATCGGGTGAAATATAATTCGGAACTGAAGGGAAATTGTAAGAAGTGATCAGGAGACGAGAGTAAATGCCTTGCGGTAGCGCCAGCGCCTGGGAAGGCGCCCGTTGCTTAGCAGGCCGTGAGGGGGAGTTTCCCTTTCACTGGGGAGTCCAGAGAACTCTGCTCTGCCCGGCTCCTGAGGAAGGTGTGACACCAGCCGGGCCGGCCGCAGACATCCAGGGGCTTAAATGCCTCTCCCCGGTGCTGTGCTCCCATGGCCACCCTCCTTGTCCACTTTCATGTTCCGCTTTCCCACCTGGCTCTCCTTTTAAGTTCACAGAACTTGTGAGAAGTAACAGTAGGGGAATCCCAAAAGCCTCTGATCTTTCTGATAAGTGCTTGGAAGGATGCTGACATATGGATGTGCCTCCCCTCCTTGCAGCGGCTCCCTGAAAGGGAGGGGCCCCTGTACTGTAAGCACGTGATTTGCTGGACCCTATCAATCAGGTCAGATGAGTCGCTCTCCTTACCCTGCCCCCCTGCCTTGTATACAGTAAGTGTCGGCGCGTCCAGGCATTCGAGGCCACTCCTGGACTCCGCGCCTTGGTGGCAGTGGTCCCCGGGGCCCAGCTGAGGTCTCCTCTTATCTCTGTGTCTTGTGTCTTTCTTTCCTGCGATCTATTGCCTCCGCACCCAAAAGAACACCCACTAGACCCTCCAGGGCTGGACCCTGCAAAGAGAGATGAGGTTTCTCCATGCTGGTCAGGCTGGTCTCGAACACTTGACCTCAGAAGATATTCCCGCCTTGGCCTCCCAAAGTGCTGGGATTACAGGCGTGAGCCACCGCACCTGGCTGATTTTTTTTTTTTTAAAGCGATAGTGTCTTCCTCCATCACCCAGGCTGGAGTGCAGTGGTTTCATTGTAGCCCATCGCAGCCTGGAACTTCTGGGGTCAACTGATCCTCTCATCTCAGCCTCCCAAGTAGCTGAGAGTGAGGCAATGTGTTAAATTCCCCTTCCGGGTCCACAAGGGGCATGGTTTCAAAGGCAAGAACTTCCCAGTGACATGCCGACCTGCCTTGCTTCATGTCTCCATCCCGGGGCAGGGAGGGCCGCGGACCTGGAACACCCGGTTACAAGAGTACAGGCATGCGTCACCATACCCGGATAATTTTTTTATTTTCGTTATTATTTTTGTAGAGATACGGTCCCTCTACGTTGCCTAGGGTGGTTTTTAACTCCTGGGCTCAAGTGACCCTCTCACCTCAGCCTACCAATGTGCTGGGATTATAGGTGTGAGCCACCACGCCTGGCCTGGATTTTTTTCTCTTTTACTCTTGGTCCACAGAGGTGCTTTGTTACCCAAGCAGCATGGTTTGGAATGTTTGGATCAACTGCCATGAACCACAACAAACACTAGAACGCCAGCATTTCCCAGGGACCTGGGAATACCATTTCCACGTGGAAACCTTCAGTTGCATCTTAGGACAAGCCCTGTGGCCGTGTTACATCCTCCATCCGGTCCCTCTGGATGTTTAAATCTGTGACCTTTTCATATTGATTCAGAACCAACAGCCAGATCAGTGGGGCAGAGTTCCTCAAAAAGCTAAACATAGAATTACTACATGATCCAGGAATCCCATTCCTAGGTATGAGCCAAGAGAATTGAGAGCAAGGGCGCAAACAGGTCTGTGGTGTTTGTTTCTGAGACAGAGTCTTGCTTTGTCACCCAGGCTAAGGCGCAGTGCCGTGTGATCTTGGCTCACTGCAACCCACACCTCCTGGATTCTAGTGATGCTCCTGCCTCAGCCTCCTGAGTAGCTGGGATTACAGGCGAGTACCACCACGCCCAGATAATTCAAACAGGTTTTTGTATACCTATGTTCATGTCAAAATCCCAACAGCCAGGCAGGATGCAGTGGCTCACGCCTGTAATCCCAGCACTTTGGGAGGCCAAGATGGGCAGGTCACATGAGGTCAAGAGTTCAAGACTAGCCTGGGCAACACGGTGAAACCCCATCTCTACTAAAAATACAAAAAAAGCCAGGCGCAGTGGCTCAAGCCTGTAATCCCAGCACTTTGGGAGGCCGAGGTGGGTGGATCACGAGGTCAAGAGATCGAGACCATCCTGGTCAACATGGTGAAACGCCGTCTCTACTAAAGATACAAAAAAATTAGCTGGGCATGGTGGCACATGCCTGTAATCCCAGCTACTCAGGAGGCTGAGGCAGGAGAATTGCCTGAACCCAGGAGGCGGAGGTTGCGGTGAGCCGAGATCGCGCCATTGCACTCCAGCCTGGGTAACAAGAGCGAAACTCCGTCTCAAAAAAAAATTAGTTGGGCATGGTGACGCACGCCTATAATCTCAGCTACTCTGGAGACTAAGGCAGGAGAATCGCTTGAACCCAGAAGGCGGAGGTTGCAGTGAGCCGAGATCGCGCCACCACATTGCAGCCTGGGCAACAGAGTGACACTCTAACTCAAAAAAAAAAAAAAAAAAGATCTCAACAGCCAAAAAAGGTGGAAGCAACTGAAGCGTCCATCAACGGATGAGTGGATCAACACAATGTGGTCCACCAGACAATGGAATGAGATTCAGCCATGAAAGGGAAGGAAGCACTGCTCCATGCTGTAATGAACCCTGAAAACGCGACGCTGAGTGAGAGAAACCAGACACAAAACGCCACATAGTGTGAGATTCCATTGATCTGAAATACCCAGAACAGGCAAATCCATAGACAGGAAACAGATGAGGGGCTGCCAGGAGTTAGAGGAGAATGTGGAGTGATTGCTGATGGGGTCGGGGTTTTCTTTCAGGGGATGAAAGTGTTCTAGAATTAGAGGTGGGGGTCGCAAAACAAATAAATACACTAAATGCCACTGAACTATATACTTCAAAAGAATTTTATGTTATGTGAACTGACTTCCATTAAAACAAACTAGAAATAGGAGAAAGTGAATCTCTCCAAGAGATACAATTAAAATTTCGAGCCGGGCGCGGTGGCTCAAGCCTGTAATCCCAGCACTTTGGGAGGCTGAGGCGGGTGGATCACGAGGTCGAGAGATCGAGACCATCCTGGTCAACAGGGTGAAACCCCGTCTCTACTAAAAATACAAAAAATTAGCTGGGCGTGGTGGCGCGTGCCTGTAATCCCAGCCACTCAGGAGGCTGAGGCAGGAGAATTGCCTGAACCCAAGAGGCGGAGGTTGCGGTGAGCCGAGATCGCGCCATTGCACTCCAGCCTGGGTAACAAGAGCGAAACTCTGTCTCAAAAAAAAAAAAAAAAAAAAAAAAAAATTTCGATGCTGGCCGGGCACCGTGGCTCGCTTGAAGGCAGGAGTTTGAGACCAGCCTGGCCAACATGGCAAAACCCCATCTCCACTAAAAATACAAAAAATTAGCTGGGCATGGTGGTGGGTGCTTGTAATCCCAGCTACTCCAGAGGCTGAAGCAGGAGAACAGCTTGAATCCAGAAGGCAGAGGTTGCAGTGAGCTGAGATCATGCCACTGTATGCCAGCCTGGGTGACAAAGTGACACTCCATCTCAAAAAATAAAAAGTAGATGTTTTTCTTTCTTAAACTTCATATATATATCTATATACATATATACACACATGTATATACGTATACACACACGTATATACGTACACACACACACACACACACACACAGGAAACTTAAGAAAAGGTCTCACTCTGTCACCCAGGCTGGAGTACAGTGACACAATCATGGTTCACTGCAGCCTCCAATTCCTGGGCTCAAGCAATCCTCCCACCTCAGCCTCCCAATTAGCTGGGACTACAGACACACACCAGTACACCTGGCTAATTTTTTCTTTTTTTACTTTTTGTAGAGATGGGGTCTCACTATGTTGCCCAGGCTGCTTTTGAATTCCTGATCTCAAATGATCCTCCAGCCTTGGCCTCCAAAAGAGCTGGGATTATAGGCATGAACCACACCTGGCCCGTATATTTTTCTTATTTTTTTTTTTTCCTGCAAGTAACATCCATAGCTTTTGTAAAAAGAGAAAGGGGCCTTCCAAATATTCATTTTAAAACATTAGGGTCGGGCATGGTGGCTCACACCTGTAATCCCAGCACCTGGGAAGCCGAGGCAGGCATATCACCTGAGGTCAGGAGTTTGAGAGCAGCCTGACCAACATGGAGAACCCTCGCCTCTACTAAAAATACAAAATTAGCCGGGTGTGGTGGCACATGCCTGTAACCCTAGCTACTCAGGAGGCTGAGGCAGGAGAATTGCTTGAACCCAGATGGAGGTTGCAGTGAGCCGAGATCGCGCCACTGCACTCCAGCCTGGGTAACAGAGAGAGACTCTGTCTCAAAAAAAAAAAAAAAAAATATGTCAAAAGACACTTTGAGTTTTGAACCAGCAGTCTGAGCTCCACCCGGTGTGCTGAGGGGAAAAAAAGCTAAAGGCAGGCAACCTCAAACCACAAAGGCAAAATCCAAGAGGCAGGACAAGGCAACTTTGTGCCAGAAGGTTCTGGAAGGCTCTGGAAGGCTCCAGATCCACCTTTCTGCCTTGCCAGTTCTGAGACCCCACCAAGGCAAGTCCCCTCCCTCTGTCAGCCACTGTTTCCTTGCCTAGAAAATGGTCTGATAAGGCACCAAGTGAAAGGGTCTCCTCAGGAGCTCCACCCTCCTCCCAGACATGGCTCTGTCCCCGTTCCTCTCTCCCTGGCACCCTGACATCCAGTCCCAAAGCAGAGCCTACCCCGGTCACCTTGCGATGCATCCTGAACCCCTGCCTTTCTCCACGGCCCCGCCCCACACAGGCTCGTCCATCAATTGCTGGCACGCTGCTCTGGCCTCCACTCCCGCCTCTCGCTACCCACAGCGGCCACAGTGGCTTTTTCAAATTATTATTTTTGAGACAGAGTCTCACTCTGTTGCCCAGGCTGGAGCACAGTGGCACCATCTCGGCTCACTGCAACCTCCCCTTCCCGGGTTCAAGCAATTCTCCTGCCTTAGCCTCCCGAGTAGCTGGGATTACAGGCACGTGCCACCATGCCCAGCTAATTTTTGTATTTTAGTAGAGACGGGGTTTCACCACGTAGGCCAGGCTGGTCTCAAATTCCTGAACTCAAGTAATCCACTCGCCTCAGCCTCTCAAAGTGCTGGGATTGCACAAGTTGTGTGAGCCACCGCGCCTGGCCCACAGCGGCTTCTGAAAATCATAAATCCGAACACCGACCTCCCCCGCTCACACACTCTCCAAGGCTCCCTATTTCCCTCCTAGTAGACACCAAGCGCCTCCCCTGGCCTGTGTACGCGGACCTCCAGCCACCACTGCCTCATAATCACTTCGCCACTTCATTCCTTTCTTTTCTATTTTTTTTTTTTTTTAAAAGAGATGGGCTGGGCACAGTGGCTCACACCTGAAATCCCAGCACTTTGGGAGGCAGAGGTGGCCGGATTACCTGAGGTCAGGACTTTGAGGCCACCCTGGCCAACATGGTGAAACCCCAGCTGTACTAAAAATGCAAAAATCAGCCGGGTGTAATCTCAGCTGCTCGGGAGGCTGAGGAAGGAGAATGGCTTGAACCCAAGAGGCGGAGGTCGCAGTGAGCAGAGACTGTGCCACTGCACTCCAGCCTGGGTAACAGAATAAGGCTCTTTTTCCAAAAAAAAGAAAGAAAAAAGAAAATCAAGAGATTATAGAAAAGCATGAAGACTGAAATAACATTTGGGGTTGATCGCAGAAAACTGCATTAACGAGGTCGGGCGCGGTGGCTCACGCCTGTAATCCCAGCACTTTGGGAGGCCGAGGCGGGTAGATCACAAGGTCAGGAGATTGAGACCATCCTGGGCAACGTGGTGAAACTCCGTCTCTACTAAAAATACAAAAATTAGCTGGGCATGGTGGCAGGTGCCTGTAATCCCAGCTACTCTGGAGGCTGAGGCAGGAGAATCGCTTGAACCAGGGAGTTGGAAGTTGCACGGAGCCAAGATTGCGCCACTGCACTCCAGCCTGGCGACAGAGCAAGACTCTATCTCAAAAAAAGTAAAAAAGAAAGAAGATTGCTTACTGAGCTCAATGTCTATTATTTGGGAGACGGATGCCCTAAAATCTGCGACTTCACCACTTCACAATCTGTGCGTGTAAAAGAATTACACTTGTGCTCCGTAAGTTTGTATCAATTAAAAAAATAATAGTAACATTGAATCAATAGGTCTTTTCTTTTGAGACAGAGTCTCATTCTGCCGCCCAGGTTGGAGTGCAGTGGCACAATCTCCCCTCAAGAAAAACATAACAAATAAGAAGACCCAACCGTTCCCTTCCTCATGAGACAATGTCCCTGCAGGAAGAGGAAGTGTAACTCAGGCCTCAGCAGTTCAATGTGGCCACCACCCCCCGGCCCCGGACCCCATCCTCCTGCTTCTTGGAAGTGACCCAGAGGTTTGGCCATTACATATGATGGTGATAAAAATAGACGTGACCAGCCAGGCGCAGTGGCCCATGCCTGTAATCCCGGCACTTTGAGAGGCCAAGGCAGGAAGATCACTTGAGCCCAGGAGTTGGAGACCAGCCTGGGCAACATAGCAAGACCCAGTCTCTAGAAAAATTTATTTTTTCTTTCTTTTCTTTTCCTCTTTCTTTTTTTAGAGATGGAGCGTCACTCTGTCACCCAAGCTGGAGTGCAGTGGCATGGTCTCAGCTCATCGCAACCTCTGCTTCCCGGGTTCAAGCAATTCTCCCGCCTCAGCCTCTCAAGTAGCTGGGATTACAGGCATACACTGCCACACCTGGCTAATTTTTTGTATTTTAGTAGAGACGGGGTTTCGCCATGTTGCCCAGGCTAGTCTCGAACTCCTGAACTCAGGCAATCCACCTGCCTCAGCCTCCCAAAGTGCTAGAATTACAGGCATGAGCCACTGGGCCTGGCCTATTTTTTATTTTTTAAAAAATTCCAATTAATTAATTTATTTTTGAGATAAGAGTCTCAGTGTGTCACCCAGGCTGGAGTGCAATGGCATGATCCTGGCTCACTGCAACCTCTGCCTCCTGGATTCAAGCGATTCTCCTGCCTCAGACTCCCAAGTAGCTGGGATTACAGGCACCTGCCACCACATCCAGCTACTGTTTGTATTTTTAGTAGAAACGGGGTTTCACTGTGTTGGCCAGGCTGGTCTCAAACTCTGACCTCAAGTGGATCCACCTACCTTGGCCTCCCAAAGTGCTGGGATAGAAAGCCACCATGCCTGGCCTCTACAAAAATAAAAATAAAAAGTTAGCCAGGCGTGGTAGTGGGTTCCTGTGGTCCCAGCTACTCCGGAGGCTGAGGCAGCAGAATAGCTTGAACCCGGGAGGCAGAGGTTGCAGTGAGCCGAGACTGTGCCACTGCACTCTAGCCTGGGCACCAGAGCGAGACTGCATCTCAAAAAAAATAAACTTAAAAAAATGGACTTGACCCAAGTGTCCAAACACAGGGGACAGCTGGGGACAGAAAAGCCCATTCATTCCTAGTGCTGAGGATCAAGTGAACCCCAGCTCCGCCTCCCCTCACCAACTGTGTCACCTCAAGCAACTCATCTCCCCTCCCTAAGCCTCAGTTTACCCTTCTGCAAAATGAGGTTAAGGATGGTCCCGGTACCCTGCTACTCCGCCTTCCCTGGGGACACCCAGACCTGCCTGTGATCCATAGCCAGCAGGCTGAGAAACTTACCAGGATGTAATCGGCCCACATGTCTCGAGCTGATTTCAGGGCTGCCTGGCGCAATTTCATGACATGCTCGTAGCGTGAGTCAGACCAGTGTTTGGGGCCCTCCTCGTCCGGGTAGGATCTGTGGAGAGGCAGCTGTGATGTGGACGGCACAAGATACTATCAAAGCCCAGTGAGGGCCTGAGCTGCCTTCGGGGTAATCAGAGAGAGCTTCCTGGAGGAGGGGACATGGAAGCTCATCTGAGGCAGGGGGAAAGGAAATGAGGAGAAAAGACAAGTGGGGAGAATGTCCCTGGCTAGAGGCACAGCCTGTGCTAAGCGCTGGAGGGAAGAAAGCCCGAGGCACACTGGGGGAAAGGAAAGACGCTCAGAGTGGGGCCCAGTGCAGTGGCCCACGCCTGCGATCCCAGCACTTTGGGAGGCAGAGGTGAGAGGATCACTTGAGGCCAGTGCTTCACGACCAGCCTGGGCAATGTAGTGAGATCCTATCTCTACAAAAACTACAAAAACATTTAGCTGGCCAAGGCTACATGTCCCTGTGGTCCCAGCTAGTCAGGAGGCTGAGGCGGGAGGATGGCTTGAGCCCAGGAGGTGAAGGCTACAGTAAGCTGCGTTCACTCTACCGCACTCCAGCCTGGGTGACAGAGTGAGACCCTGTCTCAAAAAAAAAAAAAAAAAAAGCCCATAAAGGAACTATGCGGTGGAGGGGCAGGGAGTAGTTCATGCTGCCCAGGGCCCCAGGCGCAGCTAACAGCACAGCCAGTGCTGGGACCAAGACTGAGTCGCTGAGGCCGGGAACAAAGCAGTGGGCGTGGCCAGAAGAAAAAGGGAGTGAAGGAATTCTAGGTGTGGGAACGGCTCGGGCAAAGGTCTGGCGGGAGGATTCTGGCCCATTTGTGAAGCTGAGGGAGGGTCAGAGTACCTTAATGCTGCTTAGCTGGGCTGGAGAGGGAGGGACCCAGGGCCTGTGGTTCTGTCCTGGGACAATGGGGAGCCATGGAGGGTGTGTGAGCAGAGGCACAGTCGGACCAGGAGCAGGGAAAGGCGCTCACCTGGGCTCCTCCGCTGGCCGCCACTCCACGGAATGGTACAAACTCTTCACGGCCACCAGCCACTCCCGCAGCACAGTTGACGTGTTGTCCACATTGTGATCCGTGGCCACCCTGCAGGGAGAGGGAACGGGCAGCGCAGCTGGGGAGACTGAGGCAGGACCAGACAGCAGTGAGGCAAGTCGAGGTCCACATCCCAACTGGCCTCCCACCAGCTACGTAGCCGCGGACCGGACACTTCCCTGTTCCCATGTCAGTTTCCTCATGGGTAACACGGGCGTAAGAGCAGGACCTAGTTTACTGAGACGTGGAAGGGATTAAACAAGCTAATTTTGGAAAGATACATTAGTGATTGGCGGGTTTATTACTAAGCATCTAGGATCGTGCAAACCACATTCACTAATAAATATATGTAACTTAATTTTTTAAACATATATATCAGGCAGGGCGCAGTGGCTCACGCCTGTCACCTCAGCACTTCAGGAGGCTGAGGCAGGTGGATCACCTGAGATCAGGAGTCTGAGACCAGCCCGGCCAGCATGGCAAAACCCTGTCTCTACTAAAAATACAAAAAGTACCCATGCATGGTGGTGGGCACCTATAATCCCAGCTACTTGGGAGGCTGAGGCAAGAGAATCGCTTGAACCCGGGAGGCGGAGGTTGCAGTAAGCCAAGAGCACACCACTTCACTCTAGCCTGGGCGACAGAGCAAGACTCCGTCTCAAAAAAATAAATAAATAGGTCAGGCGTGGTGGTTCACGCCTGTAATCCCAGCACTTTGGGAGGCCAAGGTGGGCAGATCACCTAAGGTTGGGAGTTCGAGACCAGCCTGACAAACATGGAGAAACCCCATTTCTACTAAAAATACAAAACTAGCCAGGCTTGGTGGTGCATGCCTGTAATTCCAGCTACTTGGGAGGCTGACGTGGGAGAATCACCTGAACCTGGGAGGTTCAAGACGGCGCCATTGCACTCCAGCCTGGGCAACAAGAGCGACTCTGTCTCAAAAAAAGAAAAATAATAATATTTATTATAAATATAATCTGTCTCAAAAAATGATAAAATAAATCATTTTAAAAATAAAATGTATATATCATAAACCAGCTGGGCACAGTAGCTCACGCCCACAAATGTTGGCCTGGAGCGGTGGCTCACGCCTGTAATACCAGCACTTTGGGAGGCTGAAGCGGGCAGATCACTTGCGCTCGGGAGTTCAAGACCAGCCTAGTCAATATGGCAAAACCCTGTCTCCAGAAAAAAATACAAAAATTAGCGGGTGCAGTGGCGTATGCCTGTAGTTCCATCTACTCAGGAAGCTGAGAGAGGAGAATCACTTGAGCCCAGGAGGGGAAAGTTGCAGTGAGCCGGGATTGCGCCACTGCACTCCAGCTTAGGCGATGAATGTAAAACCCTATATCAAAACAGAAGTATACCTCAGCAGGGCGCAGTGGCTCACACCTGTAATACCAGCACTTTGGGAGGCCGAGGCGGGTGGATCACAAGATCAGGAATTCGAGACGAGCCTGGCCACAATGGTGAAACCCTGTCTCTTTACTAAAAGAACAAAAATTAGCCGGACATGGTGGCTCGAGCCTGTAATTCCAGCTACTCAGGAGGCTGAGGCAGGAGAATCACTTGAACCCAGGAGGTGGAGGTTGCAGTGAGCCGAGATCATTGCAGTTGCTGGAGCTACTGCACTCCAGCCTGGGCAACAGAGTTAAGGCCCCATCTCAAAAAAAAAAAAAAAAACGGTATATCTCATAAACCCCCTCCCCCGCCTTCCTTCATCCTCTCCTCTGAACCACACCCACCTCAGTGGGCTAGAGTCATTCATTCATTCAACAAACGTTTGTTAAGTACCAATTGTGTATTTGGATTATCCAGACTTCGGAATCAGATGGAAGGAAAAGGGACATTTGGGAGTTTAGTTTGACCATAGTGCCAAGAGCTAATTCTACCCAATAAATTGACAGTAACACCAGCAATGACACTAATAATAATAATGAAATCACTCGGCACCAAGCCCATGTCAGACACACCAGCTTCACATCCATTAACGGTTAATCTTCAGAGACAAACCCAAAGCGAGAATTATATTAATACACTAATTTTCTTTTCTTTTCTTTTTCTTTTTAGAGGCAGGGTCTCACTCTGCAGCCCAGGCTGGAGTGCAGTGGTGCAATCATAGTTCACCGCAGCCTTGAACTCTTGGGCTCAGGCGATTCTCCTGCCTCAGCCTCCCCAACAGCTGGGACCACAAGGCACAGCACCCGGCTAATTTTTTCTCGAGATGGGGTTCTGCCATGTTGGCAAGGCTGGTGTCGAAATCCTGAGCTCAAGTGACCTGCCCACCGTGGCCTACCAAATGGCTAGGATTAGTGCGTGAGCCACTGCGCCCGGACCAGTTTCCATTTGAGGAAACTGAGGCGGCGAGTGAGAAGTCACCAGTCGGAGGCTTCCTCAGAGCTCTGCCCCATTCCCTCCCAAGAAAGCATCCACTTCCTCCGGGGCCGTCTGGTCCTGGACCCCACACACTGCTGGTCCCAGGGCAGGGGTCTGATGGGGGCCTGGGGCCTGGAGCTAGCTGAGTTCAAAGCTTAAGAGCAGCAGCAGGCACGGAAGGCTGTTCGCTGTGGCCCCTGGAAACGCCCCACTGGGGGCTCGGGGCTCAGTTCTTTGGAGGCGTACGTGTCCCAGAGAGGGGTGGAACGAGCCCCTGTCAGCGGGGCCAGATCTGCCCTAATAGGGTCCAGCAGGCAGGAGGGTCCCCAGCCCACCCCAAAGGAGCGGCAGGAGGAAGTCGGTCCCGCTTGTCTTAACGTGGGGAGGGCTGTGTCTGGCCCACCTCATGGGAGTACAGCAGGCAGGGGGCACGCGTGGGTCAGCCCCGATGGGGGCAGCGGGCAGGGGCACACGTGGACCCTTCCCGACTGGGGCAGCGGCCAGGGGCATGCGTAGAACCGTCCCGATGGGGGTGGCGAACAGGAAGCATCTCAGACCCTCCCCTAAGGGGACAGCGAGCAGGGAGCTCGCAGGGACCCGCCCGATGGGGACGGCGGGCTCGGCTCACCATAGCGCCGTGCGCTCCCGCGGGTGCCGCAGCCGCTCGAGCGCGCCCAGCGTGGTGTGCAGCGCGTGGGCCGCGTTTCGCGCCAACAGCGCGATCAGCACGCGCGGCGCCTGCAGGGGCGACTCCGGGCTCCAGCGCTCCTCGGGAAAGTAGGCGTCGGCGCCCGGCGGGCCTCCCGGCGGCAACGGCACCAGCAGCAGCAGCAGCAGCAGCGCCGGGAGCGGCCTCCCGCGCCGCCGTCCCGCGCGTGGGGTCGTCGCCATCGCGCCACGCGTCTCCTTTAAGTCGTTTTTGTGCCGGAGGACGCTGGCCGCACGGCGGAAAAAGTCTTCGGGGCCCCGCCCGGCCGGGCGCCTTAAAGGGGAGGAGCGCGCCTGGTGTGAAGTCCAGGCCCCGCCTCCAGATGCTCTCAGGGACTGAAAGCCCGGAGTGACGTCACCTGCTGCCCCACCCAGGACGCCCCGCCCCCGCATCATCCTTAAAGGTACAGAGCGCTTGGAGAGGGAGAGCTTGGAAGGCAAGTTAGGGCTAGCTTTAGGGTTAGGAACCCGCGCTTCCCCCAGTCGCTTCCTATCACCCGGACCTCAGCCTGATGCGCCCCAACTTCCCCAGGTACAAAACCCGGGCTGTGCCACCAGGCGGGCTTGGCTACTTAGGACCTGGTTTGGGACCCTAGAGACCTGAGCCGCAGTTTCCTCTGCTGCAACGTGAGTTTGGCATCCTGGTTCTGGACCTCACGCCTGTAATCCCAGCACTTTGGGAGGCAGAGGCGGGTGGATCACCTGAGGTCCGGAGTTCGAGACCAACCTGGTCAACATGGTGAAACCCCGTCCGTCTCTACTAAAAAATACAAAAAATAGCTGAGCGTGATAGTGCGCGCCTGTAATCCCAGCTACTCGAGAGGCTAAGGCAGGAGAATCGCTTGAGCCCTGGAGGCGGAGGTTGCAGCGAGCTTGCCACCTGCATTCCAGTCTGGGAAACAAGAGTGAAATTCCGTCTAAGAAAAAATCTGAACTTTTTTTTTTTCTTGTTTTCACAGAGAAGGTCTTGCTCTGTGGCTCAGGCTAGAGTGCAGTGGCATGATCATGGCTCACTGCAGCCTCAATCTCTTGGGCTCAACCGATCCTCCTGCCTCAGTCTCCCAAGTAGCTGGGACTACAAGTTCACTTCATCATGCCCAGCTAATTTTTAAATTTTTTGTAGAGATGGCGTCTCACTATGTTGCCCAGGCTGTTCTCAAACTCCTGGGCTCAAGTAATCCTCCCGCTTCCACCTCCCAAAGTGCTGAGATTACCAGTGAGCCATCATCCCCGGCTAAAACTTAATTTTTTTTCTTTTTTCTTTTTTGAAATGGAGTCTCACTCTGCTGCCCAGGCTGGAGTGCAATGGCGAGATCTCAGCCCGCTGCTGAGATATCAGACTTCTGCCTCTTGGGTTCAAGTGATTCTCTTGCCTCAGCCTCCAGAGTAGCTGGGATTATGGGCGCCTGCCACCACGCCCAGCTGATTTTGTATTTGGGAGTTTGAGACAGTCTGGCCAAGATGGTGAAACACATCTCTACTAATAATACAAAAGTCAGCTGGGCGTGGTGGTGCCCTCCTGTAGTCCCAGTTACTTGGAAGGCTGAGACAGAAGAATCGCTTGAACCCAGGAGGCAGAGGTTGCAGTGAGCCAAGGTCACACTACTATACTCCAGCCTGGCAATAGAGCTACACTCCGACAAAAAAAAAAAAAAAAAAAAAAAAGAAAAAGAAAAAGAGAGAGAAAGAAAGAAAAGAAAAAATAATGATACAGGCCGGGCGCAGTGGCTCACACCTGTAATCCCAGCACTTTGGGAGGCTGAGGCAGGTGGATCACCTGAAGTCAGGAGTTTAAGACCAGCCTAGCCAATATGGTGAAGCCCCATCTCTATTAAAAATAAATACAAAAAATTATCCGGGCACGGTGGCGCTCACCTGTAATCCCAGCTACTCCGAAAGCAGAGGCAGGAGAATCTCTTAAACCCAAGAGGTGGAGATTGCAGTGAGTCAAGATCGTACCACTACACTCCAGCCTGGGCGACTAAGCGAGACACCATCTTAAAAAAAAAAATAAATAAAAAGCTAAAAACAAATTTACACTCTGTGGACTTGATGAGGAAAGGTCTTTTCATATTAGGAAAAAGGCACCAGGGCAAACAACGTTTTTCTCAAAAGGGGCAAGATGACAAATTCTTGCGGCTGCAATTGTTCCAGAATTAACATCTACATCCCGTCCCACCCCGTCCAGGGTAAAAGGAAGACAGCTGAAGGAGACTCTGAGTGCAAATGTATGCGCAAATGTATTTCGGAAGGTGGGGCTGGAGGGAAATAGCTGGAAAGGTCAGGAATATCTCATTGTCTTAGGGAAGGCTGAAAACTCCAGATAGAATGGGAGGAAAGTGTCCCCATGGAGTGTGACAGTCCCTCTGTAAGCGGAACCAAGAACACAGGGGAATCCCTGTGGAACCCACTCCGGAAGCAGCTGCAAAGTTCATGAGAGTGGAGAGGCTGCCAATATCTACTTAGCAGATGACTTTTCTGGCAAGCAGAGGGAGTTCTGGAAAAGCTGCTCTCCCAGCCGGGAAACCTGATACCAAGTTAAGATTTGCAGCTAGGAAACAAACCCTAACAGCTCACAGCAAGCCGAGGGGAAAAAAAAAAAAATCTGTAACCTGTATCACGAAGCCTTCATATCCTTGAGATTAAAAAAAAAAAAAAAGTGATTAGATATCAGTAAGAAAAACATAAACACTCCTGAAAAGTAGAACAAAGCTATGGACAGGCAATTCGCTAAAATAAAAAAACAGAACTACAAACATGCCAATGGCTAATCAACATATTTGGATCTTGTGTTTTGAGACAGGGTCTCACCCCCATGGCCCAGGCTGGAGTGCAGTGGTACAATCACCACTCACTGCAGCTTTGACTTCCCAGGCTTAGGTAAATAGGTAAATCGACCATCTCAGCTCAGTTTTTTTTTGTTTGTTTGTTTTTTTTTTTTTTTTTTTTTAGTAGAGATGGGGTTTCGCCATGTTGCCCAGGCTGGTCTCAAACTCCTGTCTTCAAGCAATCCAACTGTCTCCGCCTCCCAAAGTGCTGGGATTACAGGCATCAGCCACCACTCCCGGCTATTAATTTTGTATTTGTTTGTAGAGATGGGGTCTCACTATGTGAGCCAGGCTGGTCTTGAACTCCCGAGCTCAAGTGATCTGCCCGCCTCAGCCTCTCAAGTGCTGGGATTACAGGCATCAGCCACTGCGCCCAGCCGTAATAAACTTATTTGTAAGTTCAATTTAGTCAAAGAAATTTGAAATAAAAGAATGAGATTACTGTGTGTGTCTAATTGGCATAGTTTCTTCTTTTTATGAAAAGTCCTTGTGTTGAGAAGATTTGGAGGCTGGACAGGGTGGATCACTCCTATAATCCTAGCACTTTGGGAGGCTGAGGCAGAAGGATGGCTTGAGTTCGGGAGTTCAAGTCCAGCCTGGGCAACATAGCGAGACCCTGTCTCTATTATTAGAAAAAAAAATGGCTGGGCTCCGTGGCTCTTGCCTGTAATCCCAGCACTTTGGGAGGCCGAGGCAGGGCAGATCACTTCAGGACGGGAGTTTGCGACCAGCCTGGCCAGCATGGTGAAACCTCGTCTGTACTAAAAATACAAAAATTAACTGGGCATGGCAGCAGGCGCCTGTAATCCCAGTTATTCAGGAGGCTGAAGCAGGAGAATCACTTGAACCTGGGAGGTGGAGGTTACGTGAGCCAAGATCATGCCACTGCACTCTAGCCTAGGCAACAGAGCAAGACTCTACCTCAAAAAAAAAAAAAAAGAAAAGACTTGGAAAAAATACACAAATGTTGCTGCTCGGAGTATAAAATGGCACAGTTTTCTGGAGGGGCAGTGGGTACAAAAGCCTAAAGATGGCATATCCATTTTGGCTCAAAAATTCCACTTGTAGACATTTATCCAATAGAAACAAGATAGATTCGGGTGAAGATTCAGCTCTGGAGTGTTCCTCGAGAAGGCGATGGGCCGAGTGGCTGGATCTGGGCACCAGAGCCTGGCTGCCTGGGACAGGCCGCTCCTTCTCGCTCAGCCTCAGTTTCCTCGTCTGTATAGTGAAAAATATCAAACAGACATCAAAAAGTCAGACATGTCGGACATCCGGTGTGTAATAAGTGCTTTAAAAATCAGAGTTAATAAGCCAGGCACAGTGGCTCACGCCTGTAATCCCAGCACTTTGGGAGGCCAAGGTGGGTGAATCACGAGGTCAGGAGGTTGAGATCATCCTGGTCAAAGTGGTGAAACCTCGTCTCTACTAAAATACAAAAAAATTAGCTGGGTATGGTGGCACCTGCCTGTAGTCCCAGCTACTCAGGAGGCTGAGGCAGAGGAATCACTTAAACCCGGGTGGTGGAGGATGCCGTGAGCTGAGATTGTGCCACTGCCCTACAGCCTGAGGGACAGAGCAAGACTCCATCTCGGGGAAAAAAAAAAAAAAATCAGAGTTAATAGAAATGTTGGCCGGGCATGGTGGCTCACGCCTGTAATCCCAGCACTTTAGGAAGCCGAGACGGGCAGCTCACCTGAGGTCAGGAGTTTGAGACCAGCTTGGCTAACATGGTAAAACCTGGTCTCTATTAAAAATACAAAAATTAGCTGGGTGTGGTGGTGGGCGACTGTAATCCCAGCTGCTCAGGAGGCAGGAGAATCACTTGAACCCAAGAGGTGGGCCTTGTAGTGAGCTGAGATCACGCCATTGCACTCCAGCCCCGGGGGACAAGAGTGAAACTCTGTCTCAAAAAAAAAAAAAAAAGTAGGCCAGGCACAGTAGCTTGTGCCTGTAATCCTAGCACTTTGGGAAGCCAAGGCAGGCGGATCACCTGAAGTCAGGAGTTAAGAGACCCACATGGTTACTGACCAACAGGATGAAACCCCATCTCTATTAAAAATACAAAAATTAGCCAGGTGTGGTGGCGGGCGCCTGTAATCCCAGCTACTCAGGAGGCCGAGGCAGGAGAATCGCTTGAACTTGGGAGGTGGAGGTTACAGTGAGGCAAGATCCTGCCACTGCCCTCCAGCCTAGGTGACAGAGACTCCATCTCAAAAAAAAAAAAAAAAGAAAGAAAGAAAGAAAGATAAAAGGGTATAGGAGGATGGGAAAGAAGCTTCTCAGAGAAGGAGCTAAAAGCAGCTCCTAAACCTCCTGAGCAAAGGTGAGGGGCAGCAGGTGAGGCTACCTGGTGGACAGCCTTCTGTTGAAATGACAAACACACCTACTTTAAATTCGGAGGTTTCCTATTGTGGGATCTGCCCACAGGAACCTGCACTTTCAAAAAAGGTATGTACAAGATAATTCCCTGTGGCATTGGCTGTTAGTATGAAAGACTAGAAACCAAATGCCAACTGGCGTGGTTCTGGTGAAAGAGATTCAGGGGCCCATCCGCAATCCTTCACATCCGATTGCAAATCCTCAAATATTCTGACACTCAGAAGTTTGTATTTGTTAGTTTGTTTTTTTGAGACAGGAACTCTCAATGTGGCCCAGGCTGGAGCACAGTGGTGCAATCCGAGCTCAATGCAGCCTCCATCTCTTGGGCTCAAGTAATCCTCACACCTTAGCCTCCTGAGTAGCTACAGGTGCATTCCACCACACCCAACTAATTTTTAAACTTTTTGTAGAGATGGGGTCTTGCTATGTTGTCCAGGCTGGTCCCAAACTCCTAGGCTCAAGCAATTCACCCGCCTTGGCCTCCCAGAGTGCTGGGATTACAGGCATGAGCCACTGTGTCTGCCCTTAGAAGCCTTTCTAGGACTGTTTATTTATTCAAGTTAGTGTAAACATTGATCAGTTTTTCTGTCCCAGATCAGCAGGAAAGTGTATTAGTTAGCTACTGCTGCATTAAAAAATTATCCCTCAAATTATGCCCATCTTGCAAGTTCTTGCCGGTGGTAAACCTAAGGCCCCCATCACTGCAATCTCCCTTTCCACGTTGGGAACAGGAAGTAGCCATTGGGAGATGACCCCTAAGTCCTGGCATTAGAGATGAAATACAAAGGCTGGGCATCGTGGCTCACATCTGTAATCCCAGCACTTTGGGAGGCCGAGGCAGTCAGATCACCTGAGGTCAGAAGCTTGAGACCAGCCTGGCCAACATGGTGAAACACCTGTCTCTACTAAAAATACATAAATTAGCCAGGTGTGGTGGTGCACGCCTGTAGTCTCAGCCACTTGGGAGGCTGAGGCAGGAGAAACCTGGGAGGTGGAGGTTGCAGCGAGCTGAGATCATACCACTGCATTCCAGCCTGGGCGACAGAGCTAGACTCCTTTAAAAAAAAAAAAAAAAAAAAAAAAAAAAAAAAAAGCAGCGTTGCGACACAAATTCACCACAATTTCATCTCCTGAGGGCTGAGCTCACATGCACGTCAGAGGCCTGCGTTAGAGGGTCCCTCTGTGGCTCAGATACACTCCACAGCTTCCCACTGTGTTTGTTCATGAGCTTGGCAAGCCTGGCTGGGTAAGGAGGCAAGGTACATTCTGTGCCATCCATGAACCCACACTCACGACAATCCCATACACCCCACGCAGGCCCCCACCTCCCCACCCCCAGCGATTGCTGAGGCAGGTTCCAGAAGCCCGTGAAGTTCCCACCTGCTTCCTCCTGTTCCCATGGGACCTCCAAGCAGCCATCCAGAGTGCAGGATACATCACTGGCACCAAGGGCCTTTTTCAGTTCTGAAATGAGATGAAGCCTTGGACATACCTAGGGAAGCCCAGGCACCAAGGGGCTTCCCTGCATTTTCCTTTTGTTTCTTTCTTTCAGAAATTCAGTGGGTACCCTGCATTTTCCCAGAGAGACTACAAATGTCTCAAGTAGGAATCCTGAACACGTGGCTCACATAAAGCCTCTCTCCAAGCCCACACCCATGGCAGACATTGCTAGCCGATCCCTGCACCCTTCACCAAGCCTGGACACCACCGGTCTCACCTCCCAACACACTGCTCTGGGACATCACAAATCAAGTCAGGATGGACCCACCCAACATGGTGAAACCCCATCTCTACTAAAAATACAAAAATTAGCTGGGAATGGTGGCATGTGCCTGTAGGCCCAGCTACTTGGGAGGCTGAGGCAGGAGAATAACTTGAACCCAGGAGGCGAAGGTTGCAGTGAGCCAAGACTGTGCCACCGCACTCCAGCCTGGGCGACAGAGTGAGTCTTTCTCTCAAAAAAAAACAATAAATAAAGATGGAGTCTCACTCTGTCACCCAGGCTGCAGTACAGTGGCATGACTTTGGCTCACTGCAACCTCTGCCTCCCAGGTTCAAGCAATTCTCCTGCCTCGGCCTCCTGAGTAGCTGGGCCTACAGGTGTGCACCACCACACCCAGCTAAGTTTTTATATTTTTAGTAGAGATGGGGTTTCGCTATGTTGGTCAGGCTGGTCTCGAACTCCTGACCTCAAGTAATCTGCCCGCCTCAGCCTCCCAAAGTGCTGGGATTACAGGGGTGAGCCACCACACCCAACCTGTATCCATAGTTTTTGAACTCTGCCTCCTCCTCATCCTGAGAACTCCTATACATCCCTCACAGCCCCAATCCAGAGGCCCTTCATTCAGAGTTTCCATCCCTGCCCCTCTGAGCTCCTCCATCCTGGACCAACTCTGGCCAAGTCCTGACTTGAGGTCGGATGGCAAGTGTTCACAGAGAGTGAGAAGTGGTGGGGCCCCGGTGGGACTTGGTACATACAGCCAGTGGCTGCCAGGCTATGCTCCCCTGAGCCATGGCAGGGCAGGACTCACCTCGGTCAATCCTCTGCAGCAAGCACCCACGGATGACGTCCTCATAGATGCCCTCGGTGGTCAGAGCCTGGCTGCCCACGGCAAGGACATCCCCCTCAAACTCACGCAGCTCCTGGAACCACGGCAGGTTAGGGGATCAGCGGGAGGGGAGGGGCTCTAGGGGCCTACGTCGTGGGTTTCTGCCCTAACCTTGGGCTTGATTAGCTGTAGGGGAGGGGGTGTTGGGCCTCAGTTTCCTTATCTTTATTTTTTTACATTTTTTTTTTGTTTGTTTGTTTTTTGTTTTTTGTTTTTTTTTTGAGACGGAGTTTCGCTCTTGTTACCCAGGCTGGAGTGCAATGGCGCGATCTCGGCTCACCGCAACCTCCGCCTCCTGGGTTCAGGCAATTCTCCTGCCTCAGCCTCCTGAGTAGCTGGGATTACAGGCACGTGCCACCATGCCCAGCTAATTTTTTGTATTTTTAGTAGAGACGGGGTTTCACCACGTTGACCAGGATGGTCTCGATCTCTTGACCTCGTGATCCACCCGCCTCAGCCTCCCAAAGTGCTGGGATTACAGACGTGAGCCACCGCGCCCGGCCTATTTTTTTAAGTTTTTTTTAAATGTAAAAATAAACACGGGCCGGGCATGGTGGCTCGCGCCTGTAATCCCAGCACTTTGGGACGCCGAAGTGGGTGGATCATGAGGTCAAGAGCTGAGACCACGCCACTGCACTCCACCCTGGCAACAGAGCGAGACTCCATCTCAAAATAAATAAATAAAATAAATAAATAAATAAATAAATAAATAAATAAATATATTCTGCTTTGGAGGAGCTGTTTATATATATTTTTAAATTAAAAAAATAGAATAAAATAAGATAAGATAAACAGGTCTTGGCCAGGCACGATGGCTCATGCCTGTAATCTCAACACTTTGGGAGACCGAGGCAGGTAGATCAGGAGGTCAGGCGTTCAAGACCAGCCTGGCCAAGATGGTGAAACCCTGTCTCTATAAAAATAGAAAAAAATTAGCTAGGCATGGTGGCAGGCACCTGTAATCCCAGCTACTCGGGAGGCCGAGGGAGAGAATTGCTTGAACCTGGGAGGCGGAGGTTGCAGTGAGCTGAGATCGCGACACTGCACTCCAGCCTCAGTGACGGAGCAAGACTCCATCTCAAAAATAAAAAAAAATAAAAAAATAAATAAACAGGTCTCGCTCTGTCACCCAGGCTGGAGTGCAGTGGTACAGTCATGGCTCACTGCAGCCTCAACCTCCCAGGCTCAAGCGATCCTCTCACCTCAGCCTCCCAAGTAGCTGGGACTACAGGCATGCACCCCACACCCGGCTAATTCTTGCATTTTTTGTAGAGATGGGGTCTCACTGTTCCAAAGTGCTGGGATGACAGGCATGCACCACCCGCTGGGCCTCAGTTTCCTTATCTTTAAAATGGACTCAGTGACCCCATTCTCTATCATTGTGGAAAGGATTCATTAGATTAATTAGACACAGCAAGTCACACACCTCACAGGGAGTATTGTGAGTGTCTCAGCTGGGACTCCCCCAACCCCCATCCACTTCCTCTAGAGGATTCCGTTTGTACCCATGTCAGACACCTGCCTGGTGCCCCTGAGCCCTGTGTGCCCAGGCACCTAGGACTCCCCCCGACCTCCTCCGCATTGTCCCATTCATTGAGCCCCAGCCACACCCACCTCGTCACTGTTCCTTCAACACGCCAGGCATGATCAGGCCTCAGGGCCTTTGCACGTGCTATGCCCTCTGCGTAGAATGCCCTCCCCAGAACATGGCCCGTGCCTTCATTTCACAGGGAGATCCTTCCTGACCCTTGGCAACCCCTTACCCAACCCTTACCCAAACTCTCCATCATCCACCACCCTCCTCCTCTGGTGCCCATGTCACCCGGTGATATGTGATGTATGACACCCATCCCAGCTCTTCCTTGGCAGACACAGGGTAATCAGCCCTATCACGGGAAAAGCAGATGGCATTGTGAAAGCCCAGAAAAGCCACCTGACCCACCTCCAGGGCTCAGGGTACAGAAACCTCTTTTTTTTGAGCTAGGGCCTTGCTCTGTGCAGTAGTGTAATCCTGGCTCACTGGATCCTTGACTTCCCGGGCTCAATTGATCCTCCCACCTCTTGACCTCCGAAGTAGCTGAGACCACAGGCACATGCCACCATGCCTGGCTAACTTCTGTTTTTGTTTTTGTTTTTGTTTTGAGACAAAGTTTCGATCTTGTCGCCCAGGCTGGAGTGCAATGGCGTGATCTCAGCTCATTGCAACCTCTGCCTCCCAGGTTCAAGCGATTCTCCTGCCTCAGCCTCCTAAGTTTCTGGGATTACAGGCATGCGCCACCATGCCTGGCTAATTTTATATTTTTAGTAGAGACGGCGTTTCTCCATGTTGATTAGGCTGGTCTTGAACTCTCGACCTCAGGGTCTGCCTCGGCCTCTGCCTCCCAAAGTGCTGAGATTACAGGCGTGAACCACTGCGCCCGGCCAACTTCTGTACTTTTATAGCGATGGGGTTTCACTATGTTATTCAGATTGATCTCCTGGCCTCAAGCAATCCACCCACTTTGGCCTCCCAGAGTGCTGGGATTACAGGCATGAGCCACCGCTCCTGGCCAGAAGTCTCTCATGCGCAAAGAACATTCTTGCCTGCTGTACGTGGATGTGTGGCAATGCTCAGACCTGCCTGCATCCTTCCCATTAACTCACCTTCCTGCAGCTCGGCTCGAGTTGGCTCAGCACAAAAGGTAAAAAGATGCAGAGACCCCAGCTTCGGATGAACCGCCTCTGCACCAGCCCGCTGTCCGATTCGAACTTCTGCACAACACACCCAACCGCGCATCTAGTGACCATCTGAGCACCCAGGCCCTACTGCCACCCGGTGCCACCCCGTACCCGCAGACCGCACCTTCAGCACGCGCCCCCTGACTCTCTCCAGCCTCTGGGCAGCCTGGTCACAGTTGAGAGCCGTGGTCAGACACTGGTCGGCCAGCTGCAGGAAGGTGGCCACGGCGTCAGCCATGAGCTGTGGGAGGAGATGCTGTGATGACCCCACAATCTGTGATCCAGCCTTCTGGGCCCCCACCTGCCCAGCTGACCCCTTCTTGGCATCCAGCCTGCCCCAACCAGCCACCTCTCCCCAGCCTCCTCCTCCTTGTCCCAGGAAACACCATTCCCCTCCTCTCAGGACCTGGGAATTGTCCAGTCTGTGGGGAACTGTATAGAAGCTGGCAGAAAGCTCCCTCCCTCTGGGGGATGGTGCCAGGGTGCCCAGAATGGGGAGCAGAGAGCCAGCTAGAGTTCAGCCTGCTCCACTGAGCACTCTTGTGCAATGCACAAGAACAACTGTGCCAGGTGGAACTGAATCATCTCACTCTCTTCTTCTGTCACCAAGTCCATCGGCAGGTGCCATCTCAGACTTCAAAACAACTCTCAATTCTCCCCACTGACATCCGCAATCCTGGTGCAGGCCTCCTCTCTGCCTCCCCTATGCCTGCCCCCAACAGCCTGTGCTCCCTACGGCAGGCCCAGGCCGAACTTGCAGCCACGCCCTCCCCCTGCTCACACACCTGCTCTGGCCCCCCCATTGCCCTCAGGAAAGAGCCCACCCCTTAGCCCCATACTCAAGGCACTCAGCAATCTGCCCGTCCACCTCGCCAGCCTATCTTCCCCGTTTCTAAAAAATTGCTCCACGTTCCCCAGATGCAGCCAAGTGCTCTCAACACTGTTCACGCGGGACTTGCGCCAGCTCCATTCCTCCCACTGCTGCCCCATGTCGGAAGTCCCCCCCTCCCACAAGTCCCGTCAACCCCGGAGATGGATCAGGAACGTCCTTGGCGCTCCCTGTACATTCGGCCCCAGCTCTGTCCACCACGTGTGGCGCTGTCTGGAAACGGGCTCCTGTCCCCGTGAGGCGGGAAGCCCCGCGGAGTCTGTCTCAATGATCCTGATCTCTCCAGGACACACTTAGTGGAGGTGCTCTTCGCAGGCTGGCCTCCTCCCGGGCTCCTGCTCACCCTCACCTGCTGTGCAAGATCCTGGGCCGCAAACATGAGGCTCTGCATCCCCAGGAAGCCGAACGGTGCTGCCAGCTGCCCCAAGCGCCCCCGGCTCCGCTCGGTCTCACGGTAGCATGTCTGCATCGGCCCCAAGTCCCATGGCATCTCCCCGAATGCGTAAACCTGTGTTCCCGGAAGCAGTTTATGGGGGCGTGGGGGGATGGTTCTGTCAGCTGAGTGCAAAGGGCCAAGGACCCCACAGCCAATTCAGCAAAGGAGAAACCCAAATGAAAATGCATCCCACCTCAGTTGTCACCAAAGAAACTCATAATAAAGTAGCGGTGAGCCTGGCGTGGTGGCTCATCTCTGTAATCCCAGCACTTTGGGAGGCTGAGGCGGGCAGATCACTTGAGGTCAGGAGTTTGATACTAGCCTGGCCGACATGGAGAAACCCCGTCTCTACTAAAAGTACAAAAATTAGCCAGGTGTGGTGGCGCACACCTGTTCTCCCAGCTACTTGGGAGGCTGAGGCATGAGAATCGCTTGAACCCGGGAGGTAGGGGTTGCAGTGAGCCGCGATCGCACCACTGCATGTCAGCCTGGGAGACAGACTCTGTATCAAAAAATAAAATAAGGCCAGGCACACTGGCTCATGCCTGTATTCCCAGAATTTTGGCCGGCCAAGGTGGGTGGATCATGAGGTCAGGAGTTCAAGATCAGCCTGGCCAAGATATTGAAACCCCATCTTTACTAAAAATATAAAAATTAGCCAGGCGCAGTAGCAGGCACCTGTAATCCCAGCTACTCAGGAGGCTGAGGGAGAGAATCGCTTGAACCCCGGAGGCAGAGGTTGCAGTGAGCTGAGATCACCACACTGCACTCCAGCCTGGGTAACAGAGCAAGACTCTGTCTCATAAAATAAAATAAAATAAAAGTAGTGGTGAGGCGTGGTGTCATGGGTATAAAATGATAAAACCTGAAAGCAACTGTGCTGGCACAGTTGAGAGGAAATGAGCACACTCAGTTGGACCTGGATCTATGACCACCTCATGTCCTTTCTGCGCTGGGCCCTGAGGTTGCAGAAATGGAATACTCTAAGCCAGCCTTTGCTTACAAATTGGGGGAGACAGAGCATAGAAATCTCCGCCAGTGGTATGAAAGTGAGACTGTGATAAGAGAAGCACAGGCTACCACAAGACATAGACGGGGACCAGGGACAGCTCCTGGAGAAGGTGATTAGGAAGTAGAAGGTTAAGAATGAGTTGAAGGTTGCCTGGCACATAGTAGGTGCTGCTTTCTGTATGCACGTATGTATGCATGTGTGCATGGATGGATGGATTTTAGGTGTTACTTGAATATGAGATGCACTGAGTTGAGCTGCCTTGAGCAGAATTATCTGGCTCACAAGAGCACATGGGTTGTTCCCTGCAGGGGAATGGGAGGAGGAGTTTGGATGCGTGATCTCACAATGATTTTGCTAAAATGCCACTCTTCACATCCAACTCCTTTCCCCTCACGTTTTCAGGTGCTTCGTGGCCACTACAGTGGCTCGCACCTGTAATCTCAGCACTTCGGGAGGGCAAGGCAGGCAGATGACTTAAGCCCAGGAGTTTGAGACCAGCCTGGGCAACAAAGCAAGACCCTGTCTCTACAAAAAAATTTTAAAATTAGCTGGGCATGGTGATTTGCGCCTGTATTTCCAGCTACTTGGGAGGCTAAGGTAGGAGAATTGATTGAGCCTAGGAGGCTGTGGCTGCAGTGAGCTAAGATTGTGCCACTGCACTCCAGCTGGGGTGACAGAACGAGACCCTGTCTGTGGGTAACCCCCCATATAGGCATCGAGGAATGAGAGCTAAGCAGAACCCTGGAAGAGTTAGGGCTTGAGGAATATCTCACTTTATAGTGTTACTACTCAGCTATTTATATAATCCTTTATATAATTGTATATTAGTTTATAGAAATAGGGCTTGAAGAATCCCTTTATATAATCCTCCATATATAATCATATAATGGTTGATAGTATGAGTGCCTAAAGAATATTTCCCTGCATATATACCTATAATTATATCTTAGTTCATAATCGGAGGAATGCCTAGAGTGGACACAGTACAGAGCATAAATTAAGGGATAAGCAGCTTATAATTGGAGGAATGCCTAGAGCAGACACAGTGCAGAGCATGATTTAAGGAAAAACAGTTATACCAGGACAAGAATCCATGGCCTAGGCGGCAGCATTCAGTATCATAAAGAAACCCGCTGTATGGCAGGCTTGGGGCGAGAGCCACTCCTCCTGATAAAGGAGTTGTAGGACGTGGCTCCAGTTCTTGCGGAAGGCTGCCCTCAGAACAGCAATCCACCTTGGTGACTGTGAACTTTATCAGCTCTTGCTACTGTGCTGCTTGAAAAGCATCCTCCCATAGAATCCATTGGAAGCTGCCAGAAGGTGGCGGTAACCTTGACAGCTCTGTCACTGCTATGTGACTTAAAGCATCCTCCTATAAATCTTCTTAGAAGCAGTTTGCCCATAGATAGACGTATTGCACACTGCACCCTCTTCACTGTGCACGGCCGACCTTCAAGCCTCAGTGACCTAATAGGGGTGGACCCCTTACTGCACACGGCCCCTTGCTGTGCACTGTCCACCTCCTGGTCTAGGTGACCTAATGGGGGTGGACCCCATGTTTCATTGCTCACGACCCTATCACTATCCTTAAAGATGATTTCACTCACTGCCCTGCCCCCTAACCTATACACAATAAATACTCACGCTTCTGGACATTCGGGGCCTTGCCTCGCCTCGCCGGCCTTGCCGGCCTCGCCTGACTCCGCTTATAGGTGGCGTGGCCCCCAGAGCCCAGCTGCATTTTCTTTGTACTTCTGTGTCCTGTCTCTTTATTTCTCCGATCCTGCGCCTCAGCACAGCATAAGCCTCACCCCACGACCCTGTGGGGCACTCAGCCTTACATCTGGCTCACAACGTGCCCTACACTGTCTCCAAAACAAACAAAACAAAGCAAAAACTGTGCTCCAGTGACTATAGCATGGTGATGGGTCCACAATAAGTAAAAAGCAGCCTAAAACAAATTCAGAGGTTTTCAACAGGAAAGACTCAACACATCACCCACTGGCCCACTGAACCCACAAGAGCTCACCTCCCTGCGCAACCTCGTGCCCGATGGGCTCTGGCGCAGGTGGCCCGACAGTCGGTCCATGCCTTGAGCCAGGAGGGTCCGCACCACCTCGAGCAAGGCTTCCACGGTGTCCAGCAGGGTCTGAGCGACACGGGGCAGCTGCGGGTCCACATGCTGGCGCAGGCAGGACTCGAGCGGTCCCTTGATATCCGCTGGGAGTGGAAGACACTGGCCTGGAGTCCCCTCCGCAAGGTGCCTCGCAGATGGGGATGGGCAGGGGCCCTAGTTCAGCAGGGCGAGGGGAACCCGAACAGGGACGCTGAGCACCCTCTTCTACCTCATTGTAGTGATGAGAAAACTGAGCCTCGGAGGGGCGGGCCGAGTCGGGATTCCCAACTGAGTCTTTGTAGACGCCACCTTGGCCCACCCCTGCCCAAGTATCAGCCTTTACTCCCACCCGTCCCCGGCTCTTCCACTTTCCAGGCCCGCCCAACCCGCGGCGGCCCAGCTCCGGGGCTGAACCCCTCCAGCCTCAGCCTCAAGGCCACGCCTATCCCCCCAATGAGGCTCCGCCCTTGCTGCATCCAGCACAGCCCCCTCAAGACCCTGTATCTTTGGGGCAGACTCTAGGCCCCGCCCTGGTGCCACGCCCACAAAGCCACGCCCACCACTTCTAGCTTAGGCCCCGCCCCTCTCCCACACCTGTTACCTTCGACGATCTAAGCTTGACCCCGCCCCTCCCCGACCACGCCCCTTATTCACACAAGGCCCTGCCCATTCCTCGCTTAAGTCACGCCCATCTGTCCCCAGCATGGCCTCGCCCCTCCCAGCCCAGGCCCCGCCCCCGAGTCTCACTCCGCATCCGCCCAGCCACGCGCGCCCGCAGCCGCAGCAGCTGGTCCACGTCCGGGCGGATCGTCTTCTCCAGCGTCGCAAGCAGCTCGTCTTTTTCGGGCTGGAAGGCGCGGAGCCCGGCGGAGGCCCCGGCCAGGACAGCTGCGTGAACGGCCTCCAGAAGCTGCCCAGACCGGTCGAGGGGACCCCACGCGGGACAGGAGGGCAGGAGAGACGAGATGCGGGGCGGGGATGGGGGTCAGAGAGACCGGCAGAGAGTTTAGGCCACAGTCATGGGAGGGCAACCCGAGCGCCCGGATCCCGCCCCCTGTTCCCGGGTCCGGATCCCTGCAAACCTCAGTCCAGGCCCAGGCGCGGGCGCGGCCGGCCCCCTGCAGGCCCGGAAGGGTCTGAGCTCGCAGCGCTGGAAGCTGCTCCCGCATCAGCACCGCGGTCAGCACCTGCGGGAGAGGGGGCCGTGGGCGCCGCAGCCGGCCGGAAGGGGTCCTGGGGGTCCCGGTGGCGGCCTCGCGGGGCACTGACCTCGGCGTCTGAACCTAGGGTCACGTCGTCGTCGCCAAAGTGGCCTTGGTGCTGCCGGTAGAGTCGGACGGCGTCCAGGAAGGCCCGGGCAGCAGGGGCCTGGCTTCGCTGCAGGACTGAGAGGAGCTGGGCCTCAGTGCCTGCTCAGAGCTCAGTGCCTGCCTGGCTCCCCATGGCCCGGGGAGGAAGCCCTCCTCCTGGTCAGGTCCCCAACACCCAAGTCTCACTCATCTCTGGAACTTTGCACAGGCAGTGCCCGCCACAGAGAACACATTCCCTCAGGATCACCACTAGCCCTTAAGGCATCCTTATTCAACTTAGAAGGAACCCTCTACTGGCAGCCACAGCCCGGAGACCAGCAGTTCAGGCCATACATACCGCAGACACTAGCTGCTCCTCTAGTTGCGTCGTTTGTGCAGTTAACAACCTGCCCAACTGTGCGTGTTAGTCCTGCTGGTCCTCTACTTTTTTGCTTTCTCTCTTTCCCTCCCTTCCTCCTTCCCTCTCTCTCTCTTTTCCTTCCTTATCCTTCCTTCCTTCTTTTGAGACGGAATCTCGCACTGTGGCCTCGGCTGGAGTGCAATGGCCTGATCTCCGCTCACTGCAACCTCCGCCTCCTGGGTTCAAGTGATTCCCCTGCCTCAGCCTCCTGAGTAGCTAGGATTACAGGCATCTCCCACCATGCCCAACTAATTTTTTGTATTTTTAGTAGAGACTGGGTTTCACCATGTTTTCCCAGGTTAGCCTTGAACTCCTGACCTCGTGATCCACCTGCCTTGTCTTCCCAAAGTGCTGAGATTACAGGCATGAGCCATCACATCCGGCCTCTTTTTTTCTTGCTTTTTCCTTCCTTCCTTCCCTCCTTCCTTTTTCTCTTTCTTTCTTTTTTCCCTTCTTTCTCTCTCTCTTTTTTTCCTAGATAGGGGTCTCTCCATTGCTCAGGCTGAAGTATGGTGACATGATCATAGCTTGCTGCAGCCTCCAAGTCCTGGGCTCAAACGATCCTCCCACCTCAGCCTCCTGAGTAGCTGAGACCCCAAGCACATGCCACCATGCCCAGCTAACTTTTGTATTTTTTGTACAGATGGAGTTTCACCATGTTGCCCAGGCTGGTCTTGAACTCTTGGCATCAAGTTGGGATTACAGGCGTGAGCCACTGTGCCTGACCTATTCCCGTTTTTCACCTGGCTGGCCCCTCATCTTTTTTAGGCCCCGCCTTCCCCTCATCTGGGAAGCCTGCTCCAATTCCCATGCCCCAGGCTGAGCTTCCAGAGAATCCTGTGTGTCTTTATCACAGCCCTAGTCACTCACAACAGCCTGATGTCCCTTCCCGCTCCCCCAAAAACCCATTTTCTTTCTGTTTTGTTTTGTTTTGTTTTGTTTTTTTGACATGGAGTTTAGCTCTTGTTACCCAGGCTGGAGTGCAATGGGGTGATCTCACTGCAACCTCTGCCTCCTGGGTTCAAGCGATTCTCCTGCCTCAGCTTCCCGAGTAGCTGGGATTACAGGCGCCCATCACCAAGCCCAGCTAATTTTTGTATTTTTAGTAGAGATGGGCTTTCACCATGTTGGCCAGGCTGGTCTCGAACCCTTGACCTCAGGTGATCTGCCCATCTCTGCCTCCCAAAGTGCTGGGATTACAGGCGTGAGCCACCACACCCAGTCTAACAACCCACTTTCTGAGTAAGGAAAGTGAGGCCTGGAGAGGTCCCAAGCCAACAGAGGCTGAGCCGTGTGACCCCAGACCATTAGCCTCACAACTACCGGACCCTTCCTGAGACCCACCTGTGCCCCGAAGCCGGATGCCACCCTGCAGTGCCAGCCTCCAGGCATGCTGTGCCTCCCTGGTGGCTGCAGAGAAGCAGAGGTGCCGGCGGAAGGGGTGCTGGAGGAATAGGGGGAACCTCACAGGCACTTCCAAGAGAGAGTCAGGCTCTTCCTGAGTACGGTCTCCTGAAAACAAACAGAGGAGGTCGCACCTTCTAAACGCTCATTTACTAGGAGAAAATACCCCTGAAATGCATAAAGCAGTCCCTGAAATGGGCAGTTGCTCGATAAATCTGAGCCACACCATGATACATGCCACCTTCCTTATTCCAGCAGCACTGGGCAGGGCACGGTTTGTGGGGAGGTAAAGTCACCTTCTTCTATTGCATGCCCAAGGCAGACATCACCAATCCATCCCATCATTGTTTTCCAGCCTCAGCTTCCTCAATACAGTCCTCCCGGCCACCACCACCAATCCATCCAAGCTGGGATGTTATATGAGACCAGCTTGACGTGGAGCTTTGGAGTTAGCCAGGCCAGGGTTCCAACCTGACCAAACCCCAAACCACTTTTATTTTCTTTCTTTTCTTTTCTTTTCTTTTTTTTTTTTAAGATGGAGGCTCACTGTCACCAGGCTGGAGTGCAGTGGCACAATCTCAGCTCACTGTAACCTCCGACCCCTGGGTTCAAGCTATTCTCCTGCCTCAGCCTCCTGAGTAGCTAGAATTACAGGTACCTGCCACCAGGCCCAGCTAATTTTTGTATTTTTTTTAGTGGAGACAGGGTTTCACCATGTTAGCCAGGATAGTCTTGATCTCCTGGCCTCTTTTATTTTTATTTTTTTAATTTAATTTAATTTAATTTTTTTGAGACGGAGTTTCGCTCCTGTTACCCAGGCCGGAGTACAATGGCGTGATCTCGGCTCACCGCAACCTCCGCCTCCTGGGTTCAGGCAATTCTCCTGCCTCAGCCTCCTGAGTAGCTGGGATTACAGGCACGCCCCACCATGCCCAGCTAATTTTTTGTATTTTTAGTAGAGACGGGGTTTCACCATGTTGACCAGGATGGTCTTGATCTCTTGACCTCGTGATCCACCCGCCTCGGCCTCCCAAAGTGCTGGGATTACAGGCTTGAGCCACCGTGCCCGGCCTCGCCTGGCCTCTTGATCTGCCCACCTTGGCTTCCCAAAGTGCAGGGATTACAGGTGTGAGCCTGTCCCCAGCCTGTCCAAACTACTTTCTAGCTCTATGACTAGGGCACACGTTTTCATGTCTCTGAGCTGTGATCTTCCTGCCCTACAAGGGGCATGCCACTACACCCAGCTGATTTTTGAATTTTTAGTAGAGAAGGGGTTTCAATGTTGGCCAGGCTGGTCTCGAACTCCTCACCTTAAGTTATCCACTCACCTCAGCCTCCCAAAGTGGTGTGATTACAGGCACATGCCACTACACCCAGCTAAGTTTTGTATTTTTAGTGGAGACGGGGTTTCACCATGTCGGCCAGGTTGGTTCGAACTCCTGACCTCAAGTGATCCGCCCCCCTTGGCCTCCCAAGTGGTGGAAGCCGGGAATGATGCTTAACGCCCTGCCGTGCACGGGACGCCCCCCATCGCAGAGAATGATCTGACCCCACATATCAACAATGCTGGGGGTGGAGAAACCTGCTCCTGGGAACCCCGGGACCCTTACCCAAGGAGGCCGGGCAGAGAGCATCCAAAAGGTAGAGATATTCACGCTGGGAAGTCAGGAGTGTGTATCCCGTCAGGGCTGTGGAGCCAAGGGGCCGGTTCCCGTTTTCATATTCCTACAAAAGGCACCCAGAGAACCAACTTGGGACAGGTCTGAAGTGTGGCTTCTGTGTCCCACTGTACTATCAAGGGAAGATTTCAGATGAGCTGGAAAATCCTCTGCCCCTCCCACAGCCCTCCACCTCCCCACCTTCTTCCCTTCCTCTCTCTGTCTTGTGTTTTTGTTTTGAGACAGAGCCTGGCTCTGTTGCCCAGGCTGGAGTGTGGCAGCACGATCTCAGCTCACTGAAACCTCCATCTCCCTGGTTCAAGCCATTCTCCTGCCTCAGCCTCTTGAGTTGCTGGGACTACAGGTGTGTGCCACCATACCTGGTTATTTTTTGTATTTTATTTTATTCATTTATTTTAAGACGGAGTCTCGCTCTGTTGCCCAGGCTGGAGTGCAAGGGCTCAATCTCAGCTCACTGCAACCTCTGCCTCCTGGGTTCAAGTGATTCTTCCGCCTCGGTCTCCCAGGTAGCTAGGACTACAGGCATGCACCACCATACCCGGCTAATTTTTGTGTTTTTAGTAGAGATGGGGTTTCTCCATGTTGGCCAGGCTGGTTGAACTCCCGACCTCAAGTGAACCACCCGCCTCGGCCTCACAAAGTGCTGGGATTACAGGCATGAGGCACCGCACCCGGTCCTAGTTTTTGTATTTTTAGTACAGACGGGGTTTCACCATCTTGGCCACACTGGTCTTGAACTCCTGGACTGAAGGGATCCACCTGCCTCCGCCACCCAAAGGGCTGGGATTACAGGTGTGAGCCACCAGGTCCCGCCCTCCCTCTCTTTCCCCTCCCTCCATCCATCCTCCCTCCGTGCCCATAACTTCCTCTCTTCCTCCCTCCTTCCCTTCCTTCTTCCTGTTCCTGCCCTCTCTCTCTCTCTCTCTCCCTCCTTTTCCCTTTCCCTCCCTTCCTCCCTCAGTCCCTGAACTCCCAGCACTCCCTGGCTCCCCGTGTGCCAGGCTGGTCCCGTGTGCTGCCTGAGGACCCTCTTGATGAACCCTCAAAGCCCTACATGGGTGAGACACTATCATCCCATTTCACAGAGATGGAAACTGAGTTTCAGAAAGGTAGTGATCGCCCCAAGCTCCCCAGCCAGAAAGCAGAGGGGTCAGAGGTCTGACTCGCAAAGGCCTCAAGAGGTTTAAACCACAGCTCTGATACTGACTTGGGCCTCAGTTTACCCATCCAGCACAGCAGGGAATGAGATGAGGTAATCTACAACAGACCAAGCATATAGAGGCCCAAGATTCATAGTGGGTGATTGATAGAGGTCGGGCTATGCTGAGAGATGGACTCCATAAACTGAGGCTGGGGGGCGTGGGAAGGAGGGACCCAGAAGCAGAAAGGCCACGTGACACTCACTTACCTCCTTGTGGCTGAACCACTCCAGGCGGCCGTCCCCACGCAGAACACAGAAGATCGGCTGCCACCGGGGTGGGTGGCCCCGAAACTGGGTCAGGGGTCCTTGGTGCTCACGGACTCGGGGCAGCTTCTGCAAGCAGAGGGATCAGCAGGTGTCACGGGCTGTGGGCTGATGTCCCTGTGTCCCAACCACCCAGACAGCTCCTGCTGTATCCTGGGGTGATGCTCAGGTCCTGTGATGCCTCAGGCTGGTCAGGGAGAGTCCCAGGCAGAAAAGGCTCTGTGTCCACAGCTCCAGGAGCCCCCTTCATTAGCAATAAGCATGGATCCCAGATTCAAAACACACCCCTGCAGTGTGACCTCGGGCAGGGCATTTTGCCTCTCCGTGCCTCAGTTTCCTCATCAAAGACCCATCTCCTAAGTGGGTGAAGAGTGAGCTGTATGGGGCACACGACTTCATGGTTCCAGAGACCTCTGGAGGCCAGACGCAGGCTCATGCCTGTCATCCCAGCAATTTGGGAGGCCGAGGTTGGGGGATGGCTTGAGGCCAGGAGTTTGAGACCAGCCTGGCCAACATGGTGAAACCCCGTCTCTATTAAAAATACAAAAATTAGTCAGGCATGGTGGTGGGCGCCTGTGGTCTCGGCTACTTGGAGGCTGAGGCACAAGAATGGCTTGAACCCAGGAAGTAGACATTGCAGTGAGCCAAGATCACCCCACTGCACTCCATCCTGGACAACAGAGGGAAATTCCATTTCAGAAAAAAAAAAAAAGTTGCCAGGCGCAGTGGCTCACGCCTGTAATCCCAGCACTTTGGGAGGCTGAGGTGGGTGGATCACGATGTCAAGAGATTGAGAACATCCTGGCCAACATGGTGAAACCCCATCTCTACTAAAAAATACAAAAATTAGCGGGACGTGGTGGTGCACACCTGTAGCCTCAGCTACTCGGGAAGCTGAGGCAGGAGAATCGCTTGAACCCAGGAGGCAGAGGTTGCGGTCAGCTGGGATCAAGCCACTGCACTCCAGCCTGACAAAAGAATGAGACTCTGTCAAAAAAAAAAAAGTTATTCCATTTCACGTCAGGATATGCTGGCTTGTTTGGATGTGAACACCAGAGGTTAGAGCAGGATCTGTCCTTGTCACTGGACAAAGGCTGTGTGTCCTCATGCCGAGCCCATGATGTGGCGTGAATTACATGTGCAATGAATGGTTTTATTTGTTGGTGGGGTTTTTTTGGTTTTTTGTTCGTTTTTAAGATGGAGTTTGGCTCTGTTGCCCAGGCTGGAGTGCAGTGGCGCCATCTCGGCTCACTGCAACCTCCACCTCCCAGGTTCAAACGATTCTTCTGCCTCAGACTCCCAATTAGCTGGGATTACAGGCGCGCACCACCACGCCTGACTAATTGTTTTTTTCCTTTTGTATTTTTAGCAGAGGCGAGGTTTCACCATGTTGGTCAGGCTGGTCTTGAATGCCTGACATCTGGTGATCGGCCTGCCTCGGCCTCCCAAAGTCCTGGGATTACAGACGTGAGCCACCTCACCTGGCCGCTCAGTGAATGTTTATTCAAACAGTGAATATTTAAAGTCACCCTGTGGCAATGGCAAAGGTCTGAGGTTGGAAGCTTGGCTTAGGAAGGGCTCCTCCAGGACCACCCCCACCCCACCAAAGGTCCTTCGCCCCCACAAAACTCACTTTGCTTCGTAGCAACTGACTTCCAGCCGGCTCCTGGGGGCCCAGCTCTCGGGAGATCTGCCGAAGGACTGATGCCGCCAGCTGCCTGCGGTAGCAGGGCAGGAAGTTCCTCAGCAGGGTGTCCATCTGATCTGCAGGGACAACAGGACCGTGAGCCCAGCAAATTGAATCTGCCCAAGAGACCTGCTTGGGGAAGGTGAAACAGACAGGGAAGCCACCTGGGGCTCCTATAGTTATCTGGAGCTGCCCAACAAGTTGTCACCAAATTCCATGCACCCTTCACCCCCTGTGCCTGTCCCCATTAATGTGGCTGGGAGGAAACTCTCCCCTCCCCCTTCTTCTTTCTTTTTGACACAGGGTTTTGCTCTGTGGCCCAGGCTGGAGTGCAGTGGTGCAATCACAGCTCACTGCAGCCTCCACTTCCCGGGCTCAGGTGATTCTCCCATCTCCGCCTCCCAAGTAGCTGGGACTCCAGAACTCCAGGTGCCCGCCACCATGCTTGGCGAATTTTTCTATTTTTAGTAGAGATGAGGTTTCACCATGTTGCTCAGGCTGGTCTCAAACTCCTGGCCTCAAGTGATTCTCCCACCTCGGACTCCCAAAGCACTGGGAATACAGGTGTGAGCCACACTTTCACTTATAGATCATGTATCGCGTAAAGCTTATGGTTGGTTGAGATTTGACACAATCACACATCTGTGAAACCCTCACCACAATCAAGATAATGAGCCGATGCATCACACCCAAAAGTTTCTCCATAGGCTTTACCTGAGGAGCTTTTCAAAAGCTTTTAAAGCTCCAAAGCACATAAGGGAACTTTCTGTGGGTGATGGAAGTGTTCTGTATCCTGATCTATTTAGAAAGTCGTCACATGGGTGACTAGCTCTTCGAGCCGTTGTCCTAAGGTGTATACATTTGATTGTAAATAAAACATACTTCCATTCTGCTGCCCAGAATGTGGACCCAATGGCTGGAGCTCCAGCAGCCATTCTATGCCTTGAGGTCACCTTGGGCACAGAAGTCTCACATAGCAGAGCCACAGGATGGAAGGAGTTTAGACCATGAGCCTGCCAGAATAAGGCCAGTACCAACCCCACAATGTCCCCAGCGCCCAGCACAGGGGCTCACCCTGCATATGAAGACAGAGGGACCCGAGCGGCAATGCCCCTTCTTGGTCTCAAATTGGGAACTGAGTCTCCATTCCCAGCATCCTGCCAAAGAACCTGCTGGTCCCTGCCTACCCAGGAGGACGTCCCTCAGGATCTGGCTGGGTCTGGGACACCCTCCAGCTGGTCCCATGCTTCCCATCTGAACCCCTATCCTGAATCAGGTCACCATAATTACCAAATAAAATAGAAGACATGGGCTGGGCATGGTGACACATGCCTGTAATCCAAGCACTTCGGGAGACCAAGGTGGGCAGATCACCTGAGGTCAGGAGTTCGAGACCAGCCTGGCCAACATGGTGAAACCCCATTTCTACTAAAAATAGAAAAATTAGGCATGGTGGTGCATGCCTGTAATCCCAGCTACTTGTGAAGCTGAGGCAGGAGAATCACTTGAATCCTGGAGGCAGAGAGTTTGCAGTGAACTGAGATCGCACCACTGCACTCTAGCCTGGGTGACAGAGCGAGACTCCGTCTTAAAAAAAAAAAAAAAAAAAAAAAAAAAAAAAAAAAAAAAAAGATTAAACGAGTTATTGGTTTTCAGCATAACTATGCATTATGCAAAATTTGGGATATACTTATACTAACAATAAGATTCAGACCAGGTGCAGTGGCTCCTGACTGTAGTCCAGCACTTTGGGAGGTTGAGGTGGGAGGATCACTCAAGCTCAGGCATTCAAGAGCAGCCTGAGGAACATAGTGAGACCCAGCCTCTACAAAATCAAATAAAAGCATTAGCTTGGCGTGGTGGTGCACACCTGTGGTCCCAGCTACTCGGGAGGCAGGAGGATTGCTTGAGCTCACAAGTTCAAAACCAGGCTGGGCAACATAATGACACCTTGTCTTATAAAAATAACAAAATAGCAGGGCACGGTGGTGCACGCTGTGGTCCCAACTACTTGGGAGGTTGAGGCAGGAGAATCGCTTGGGCCCAGGAGGCCAAGGTTGCAGTGAGCCGTGATCATACCACTGCACTCCAGCTTGGGCAACAGACAAGATCCTGTCTCAACAATAACAAAAGATTCGCTGAGTGAAATTCACATTAAGAGGGCATCGTTGGCCGGGCGCGGTGGCTCACACCTGTAAGCCCAACACTTTGGGAGGCTGAGGCGAGCGGATCACAAGGTCAGGAGACCGAGACCATCCTGGCCAACATGGTGAAATCCCATCTCAACTAAAAATATAAAAAATTAGCCAGGCATAGTGGTGTGCCTGTAGTCCCAGCTATTCGAGAGGCTGAGGCAGGGGAAATCGCTTGAACCCAGGCGGCGGAGGTTGCAGTGAGCAGAGATCACGCCGCTGCACTCCAGCTGGGCAACAGAGCAAGACACTGTCTAAAATTTAAAAAAAGAAAAGAAAAAGAAAAAAAAAAGAGGGCATCCTGTGTGTTTGACGGCCCTAGGTCTGACCCCCAGCACCATCTCCTTCATGGAGCATGTAGACCTGATGGCTGGAGCTCCCTCCCACCCAGACTCCCACCCTGTCCCCACTCAGGATACTCACCCCTTAGGTGCTGCCGCTGTTGCTTATCCAGAGGGCTCGAGGGCCGCCCGCCCATCCTGCTGCGGTCTCCCCGGGCTCCCCTTCCCCTCCCCGCGACCACCGCCCGCGTTCCTCGGCTCAGGAGCACCTGGGTGGCAGCGGAGAGGCCGGAACGCGGTGGGTTCAGAGGCCCCGCCCCCGGCCCCGCCCCTCGCCGCACCTGCGTTCTCCCCGCTCCCCTGGGGCCAAGGTTGCCCAGAGCCAGTGGTTTCTGTGGAGGCTGCGGGGGCAGCCCCGGGGGTAGGTTGTGGGGCATGAGAGAAAGAAAATCATAGCTCGCCTTGGAGGAGGGTGGCAGGGCAGACATCTGGCCGAACTGGCCAGCAGTCGTCTGTATGGGGGTTGGAACAGGGGGATGGGCAGGAATGGGGCATCTCTCCTGGTGCCACACACCCCCCCACCCTGTGCCGGGTGAGGCTGAACCACACAGACGATACAGCCCTGGTCCAGCTCCCAGGAGTCCCCAAGCCGGGGAGATAGAGCTGGACAGACACTCCCAGACTGTCCCTGCGGTCAGTGCCAGGGCAAGGGGGCAGATGCCAAGGTCTTAGAGGATGGGGGGGCCTGGCAAAGGTGAGCAGAGATTTGGGGGGCACTGAAGCAGGAGGGGATAGAAGATGGGCATGGGGTTGCCAAAGACCTCAATTAAAGGAAGTGAGGGGCCGGGGGCAGTGGTTCATTCCTGTAATCCCAGCACTTTGGGAGGTTGAGGCATGTGGATCACTTGAGGTCAGGATTTCAAGACCAGCCTGGCCAGCATGGTGACACTCAATTTCTACCAAAAATACAAAAATTAGCCGGGCATGGTGGTGGGTGCCTGTAATCCAGCTACTTGGGAGGCTGAAGCAGGAGAATCGCCTGAACCCGGGAGGCGAGTTTGGAGTGGGCTGAGATTGCGCCACTGCACTCCAGCCTGGACGACAGAGCAAGACCCTGTCTCCTCCAAAAAAGAGAGTGAGGGCCCGAGCCACGCAAAAAGCTGCAGGAAAGGAGATACCGGGCAGCGGGCTCAGCACAGGCAAAGGCCCTGGGGTGGAATGTGCGCAGCGGGCTCTAGGAACAGCCGGAAGTGGGTGCGTCATGAGGACACAGAGTGAGGGGCTGATGCTGCTGGAGAGAGGGGCAGGCGAAAGGGGCCACGTGGAGTCTTGTGGGAAGGGGTGGATTTCGCTCCCAAGGCAAAACGGAGCAGGAAGGGTTATCGCTCTCAGGAAAGGGTAGGAGATGGTGACAGCCCCAGGCAGCACTGTTCACATGGGGTCCCCGCTCTGGCTGCTCAATTTCCCTTCACTTCTCGGCCCCATGCCCCAGCCCCTGCCCACCGCTCTGGGGGCCACAGCCACCTGCCCTTGCCCAGGCCCACAGCTAAGCCGTTTCCACTGGGGTCTCTGTGCTGTTTGTCAATCTCCTTCCGCTCAGGCCTGTCCCACTTCCTCACTCTCACATCTGAGCGGCCCGCAGGGACAAGAGGCTGAAGGAAACTTCACTTTCTGTGGTTTCGGCTCCACTCTCGCCCTGAACAGTCGCCTCCTCAGAGGTTTCAATTCCCACCTCCCGCACAGCTGGGTGCCTCCTCTGGATCCCCTCCAAGAAGCTCGCACATGACTGGGCAGCCCCCATGCACCCACCAGCCTCCCACACTGTCGTCCCTGGGGCCGGGACGAAGGTGAAGGGTGGGCCATGAGCAGATGCACTCTGGGAATATGTGCACAAGCCCAGCACATCGAGACTAGACTCTGGTGCTTTCAAGGCTCTGAGCAGGCCTGCAGCGCAGCTGACGGCAGTGCTTGGGTCTGTCTGTGCAGTCGCAGCTCAGCAGAGGGTTGACTTACGTCCCCCAAAAGACATGTCTACATCCAGACCCAGGAAACTCAGCATGTGACCTTATTCAGAATACTTATTCCAAATAAGCATTTATTTGGAACTTATTTGGAATATTCCTTTGGTATCTTGAGATGGCACCGTCCTGGGTATAGGGTGATCCTAAATCCAATGAGAGGTGTCCTCATAAGAGGGCCGGGTGTGGTGGCTCATGCCCATAATCTCAGCACTCTGGGAGGCTGAGGCTGGAGAATCGCTTGACCTCAGGGGTTCGACACCAACCTGGGCAACACAGCGAGACACTGTCTCTACAAAAAATGTTCAAAAGTAGCCAGGCGTGGTGATGCACAACTGTAGCCCCAGATACTTGGGAGGTTGAGGTGAGAGGATCGATTTAGCCCAGATGGAGGCTGCTGTGAGCTGTGACTGCACCACTGCACTCTAGCCTGGGTGACAGAGTGAGACCCTGTCTCAAAAAAATAATAACAAATAAACAGGAGGAGAGAACACACAAGAAGGCCAGGTGAAGGTGTGGAGAAGAAGGAGACACGGCAGTGACGCAGCCATGAGCCAAGGGACGCCAAGGACAGGAGAGGCCTGGGACGGGATCAGCCTCAGAGCTTCCAAAGGGAAGCACCTTGACCTGAACTTCTGATTTCCCCAACGAGGACAGATAGGACAGAATACATTTCTGTTGTCTTTTTTTTTTTTTTTTTTGAGACGGAGTGTCACTCTTGTTGCCCAGGCTGGAGTGCGATGGCACGATCTGGGCTCACTGCAGCCTCCGCCTCCTGGGTTCAAGGGATTCTCCTGTCTCAGCCTCCTGAGTAGCTAGGATTACAAGCCCATGCCACCACGCCCACCTAACTGTTACATTTTTAGTAGAGACGGGGTTTCATCATATTGGTCAGGCTGGTCTCAAACTCCTGACTGCCAGTGATCCACCCACAAAGTGCTGAGACTACAGGCATGAGCCACAATGCCTAGCTTTTTTTTTTTTGTTTTAAGATAGAGTCTTGCTCTGTCACTCAGGCTGGAGTACAGTGGCCCGATCTCGGCTCACTGCAACCTCTGCCTCCCAGGTTCAAGCAATTGTTGTGCCTCCCAGGTAGCTAGGATTAGAGATGCCCACCACACCTGGCTAATTTTTGTATTCTTAGTAGAGACGGGGTTTCACCATGTTGGCCAGGCTGGTCTCGATCTCCTGACCTCAACTGATCCACCCGCCTCATCCTCCCAAAGTGCTGGAATGACAAGCTTGAGCCACCACGCCTGGCCTGTTGTCTCAGGTCACTCCAGGAAATTCTTCCATGGTGGCGATGCCCAGGGGAGAGGCCCCGCCCTCCAACCCACACACGGGGGCTGTGGATCAGAACCCAGGCCAGGGCGCCCCCAGGCCTGCTGCCATCGAGGACCCCTAAGACAGCGCATACTTCCAGCAACACTCCTTTTAATATCTGGATGCCCAGAGCCACGGCCGGTGTGTTGAGCCCCGGGCAGGGCTGGTGGCCAGAGTCTGTCGGCTTCCAGCGGCACCACGAGGCTTTTTCCAGCGAGAGCCTGGATCACGGTGGCCAACAGAGGCCCAGCCCCTGGGGCCGTGTGCCTGGTCCCAGCTGCGGCGTCCCTCTGGCCAGCTACAAAGTGGAATGCTTCTCGAAGGGCACGGTCAGGAGTCGGGCGGCCGCCTCGTCCAAGAACCAGCACAGCTTCCCGGTGTGGGGCTGGACCAGGGCGGCGGGCAGCGGGTTTTCCTCCTTGGCCTCCAAAATGCGCTGCAGGAGACAGCAGGAGGGTGAGGCCCCGCCCCTGCCCCAGGCCCCGCCCCTCAGCACTCTCCGGGTTCCCCCGCCAAGGATAAGACACTTGTACCCTCAAAATGTGACAATGCTCGACTCAGCTGTCGTCGCCCCAAACAGGAGGGACAGAGTCCCTTCCTCTCTATCCACTGGAACTATTTTTATTTTTATTTTGAGACAAGGTCTTGAGCTGTCACCCAGGCTGGAGTACAGTGGCGCCATCTCCATCTCTGAGGGTGAAGTGATCTCCGCCTCAGTCTGCCAAGTAGCTGGGACCACGTGCCACCATGCCGGGCTAATTTTTTAATATTTTGTAGAAACGGGGTCTTGCTATGTTAGTAAAGACACGTGCCACCATGCCGGGCTAATTTTTAAATGTTTTGTAGAAAGGGGGTCTTGCTATGTTAGTAAACACGAGGTTTTACCATGTTTGCCCAGACTAGTCTCAAACTCCTAAAGTGATCCTCCCAACCTCAGCCTCCGTGCCCGGCGTGTAACTGTTTAATACTGCAAAAGACCAGAGCAAAAGACCAGAGTCAGCAGATTCTGCTCTGCAGACCATCCAGTCTCTACTGTAGCCACTCAGTTCTGCAGCTCCTGCCCCAGAGCAGACAATACACACATAAGCGGGTGTGGCTATGTTCCAATAAAACTTTATTTCTGGGCCGGGTAGCTCATGCCTGTAATCCCAGCACTTTGGGAGGCCGGGGCAGGTGGATTACAAGGTCAGGAGTTCGAGACCATCCTGTCTAGCATGGTGAAACCCCATCTCTACTAAAAATATAAAAAATTAGCCAGGCATGGTGGCATGTACCTGTAGTCCCAGCTACTCGGGAGGCTGGGGCGGGAGAATCACTGGAACCCAGGAGGTGGAGGTTGCAGTGAGCCAAGATTATGTCACTGCACTCCAGCCTGGGTGACAGAGTGAGACTCCATCTCAAAAATAAATTATATATATATATATATATATATATATATATATACATAAATCCATTCATTAATCTTATTTTTTTTTTTTTTTTTTTGAGACGGAGTTTCGCCCTTGTTACCCAGGCTGGAGGGCAATGGCGCCATCTCGGCTCACCGCAACCTCCGCCTCCTGGGTTCAGGCAATTCTCCTGCCTCAGCCTCCTGAGTAGCTGGGATTACAGGCACGTGCCACCACGCCCAGCTAATTTTTTGCACTTTTAGTAGAGACGGGGTTTCACCATGTTGACCAGGATGGTCTCGATCTCTCGACCTCGTGATCCACCCGCCTCGGCCTCCCAAAGTGCTGGGATTACAGGCTTGAGCCACCGCGCCCGGCTAATTTCTGATTTTCATTTCACTTAGTTCTGTCTCTGACATTTTGTAGGTTTATATTATTGTCCTTTTTCTAATTCTAGAGGAAAGCACTTGATTTATTTATTTCAATGGTTTACTACTTAATAATTTTTTTCTTTTTCTTTTTTTTTTTTTGAGACGGAGTTTTGCTCTTGTTAC